TATATATAATCGTATTGTGTACTACATAGACAGTTGTGAAGTATGGCCATGATTTAAGGGGCGGCCTATTTTGGACACTCTTATGTAATGCCACCTCAGTACAGCATACAAAATGTTAACATACACAGTTTGCACCAGTAATAAACTCCAAAAACCACTATTTCTTTTTTGCACGCATAAACGTTTCCCGCAAAATCCTCGTGTAATTCTGACTAATTGTTTACAAATAGAATCACGTGGACTGAATCACGAAACGACCGACTGTCGTACGATACACTCTCCTAACACGCATTCGAAGCTATGCTTTAGAGCAACTCTCTGAACCAAGCGATATGCACCACACAATTTCGAACTGTGGCTTCAATTTCGTTCGCAGTTCGATTCCCATTTTCGAAATAGCCCCGGCGTCTCTTAGATGTGACAATATTCGATTCATATGTGATTTGAATTCAGCACTCACCTATCCTTTGGTTTCGGCTATCATCCACCGAATAATAATACGTGCCGTCGGAAAAGTGTCGCTCTTCACTATGCACAAAGGCATGCGCTACAGGTAAACTGAGCGAGGGTGAGTGCGGGAGCAAAAGTATGAGGAGCTTCAGGTGCCACCGCCCTGTACCGCCTAAATACCGATAGTCCAGCTATTTTTGTAGTGAAGTACTTACGTCAAGACTGATGGGCTCAAACATAATAAATCACCCTAACCTAATTAATAGGACGTGATCGACATTGGGCCTGCTTGCCTTTCTGAAGAAATCCAGACAAACTGACAAACATTTCGGCCTCGTTGCCACACCTAGGCTAATGCCTAGTTGAGTGCCTAGTGCGATTATTTCACAAGGATTATTATGGGAAGGCAATACATAGTACGCCTTCTTTAATATGTGATATTGTTACGATATTATTATAAATGTGTTTCGGTATAAGTAAGAAACTATGTTAGGTTATATAAGTATTACTGTAAAGGCGGTAGTTACAGCGGGCAAAGTTCGGCTCTTGTCTGTTCTGTGAGGCGTAAGTGTTTCAAGTGTAGTTGTGCGAAGTTTAGCGGTGAAGAAAGTTATCTAAGATTCGTCCGCGTGAAACCAGAACGAATAAGACGGAATAAAAATGGACCACGAGGAAAGCGAGGTGGATGGAGGTTTAGAGCCAGGTGGGTTAAAAGAATCGATGATTATTCCTATTAGCGAAGAAGGGCTTCTGGAACATGAGGGGGTTGAAAGCCCCCGACTGGCATCGAAAGAAGGATTGGGAGAAGACGTCGCAAAACTTGTTCAGGTAATTTAATGAGTCCATGGCGATCTGATTAATGAAATAGTAATAATTAAACTTTTTTGAACGTTTGCAGTCATTTAATTTACCAGAACTACCTCAAGTGTATTTTAGGCACTTGTGTATCTGCCATTTCACGGCTTATGTGTTTTCAAAAATACTTGTTGTATCTAGCACTTTTCTTTTGAGTAAGTTTTAGAAGTAATGTCAAGTGACTTTTTTGTCTAGTCATAAGCGCCTTGTATCGTAAAGTATGACAGAGATTTAAGTAGGCGTAACATATTAATGAATGCCACATAGATCTGACGTAGGCTTATAAATTATATGATACTTTACATAGGTTGTTGGAATATAACTCCTATCTTCTTTTAGTCCACAATAGTCCACCTCCTTAATGATAGGGTGATAGAAGTTGTATGAGCAATAACGTTATAAAAATAACATCGATCGTTTCCACCGCCATTTTTGTTAGAAGTGATCGACTTTGCTCTAATGTGACTTGCAATATTAACTAACATGCGAACTTATTAATTGTTTTTTGCAGCAAGACGGCGAAGATTCATCAAAAGAAGCATCTGGTGAAGTTGTCCCTGAGGACAACCAAGCTGAACCAGTCGATCTAGCCTCCTTCCGCAAACATATTTTTGTGCTCTCAGAAGCAGGTAAACCTATTTATTCTCGACACGGCAATGAAGAGTTGCTCGTTACAACAATGGGCGTCATGCAAGCCCTTTCGTCCTGTATTCAGGATCGCAATCAGGATCAGATCCGTTTTATTAAGGCAGGTCGGCATCGCTTTGTTTATCTGTTACGTTTGCCTCTAGTGTTAGTCGGCGTTTCCAGTTGGCCCTACCTTTCATTTCAACAGTTGCAGAATCATCTGCTCTACATGTACAATGAAATTGTATGCGTTCTTACGCATACTGTTCTTATTCGGGTATTTGAAAAACGAAGTAACTTTGATCTTCGTCGAATGCTTGGCGGATCTGAACGTCATTTCGACACACTCTGCGATCGTATGGATGTAGACGCAAGTTTCCTGTTGGGCGCAGTTCGCTGTTTACCGCTGGCAGCTACCGTACGTGATCAGATAACCCAGGCAATTGTGCAGCCGTGCAGTAAGGTGAAGGATCTCGTGTTTGCCATCCTCGTTGCTGACAATCATTTAGTGGCAATGGGTCGTATGAAAAAATATCAGCTTCATCCAGTGGATCTTCATCTCATCTTTAATCTAGTTGAGAGTTCACAAAACCTCAAAGACGCTGAAACTTGGTTGCCAATTTGTTTGCCGAAATTCGATGCGTCGGCGTTCTTGCACGCTCACGTGTCATACCTCGATGAAGCCTGCGTGTCCTGTCTATTGCTCGTAACCATTCGACGAGACCAATTCTTTGAACTGCAGGAGTGTCGTTCCCGAATAGTTGAACGCTTGCAGAAGGGTGGCTTACTTTCGGTGATCGCCGATTCAGTTGCTCACTCCGGGTATTCAGCTCGTGAATGCGGCATCCTCGAGTTACGACACTTTGTATACAAAGCGAAATCATCAGCACAACTAAGTTCTGCCCGTTTTGAAGGTGTCTATCAGACCGAAGAGGGACGTCGACGACTTATTGGTCTTTACCATGTGTTGCTCGCACGTATGTTCAATTCAGCGCGACCACTCAAAATTCTATACGCGGCAGGCGAACGTGAGACCCAACTGGGTTGGCACATGATAGGCTTCGAGCTATATGCGACCTTTGAACCTCTCGTGACAAAGGAGGGTGCCGTAAAAGCTATGAACAAACTTCTGCATTGGATCAAGAAAGAAGAGGATCGACTGTTCATCATGAACTCTGCCACCTTTTAATTATCTACTAGCTAAGAGTACACCGGGGTACCTTTACTGTATTTTTTTTTGCAGTCGTTTGTGTTGTGCGCAACCCCAAACTAATTGACATGATACGAAAAAAAACGGGAGGAAAAACACGATGTGATATTTTTACACGTTCATCAAGGCTGATTCGACCAGATTATCATCTGTGGGAGCGCATTGATGTGTAATCCGCGGGAACGTTGATGCGGTCTATTGTCGCCTCTTATGTATGATCCACCTTCGAACAACGATCGCGTTAATAAACAATTATGAGCGGGGTACGCACTCGTCAAAAGCGTAGCTTTATCCATAATTCTTAAGTGGTGCCGATTATGGTATGAAGCGCAACGCTTATAGGATATATTACCGGTGAGATTCGTGTACGGATGATCTGTGTAACGTCCATTATTAACGAAATATTAATAATGATTAAAAAAAATGTACATAGCATGTATATACTGGAATAAACGAACATTTTATGTGAGGAAGAATAAGCTACTCCCGAATCTGTTACGAATAAAAACTATGCGATGGAGAGACATTTCTACGAAGGGAAAAGTCTGATGTGTTTTTGTTTTTTATATGAAAATTATAGATTATTGATTTGAGCGGATATAAAGGCTTGGTGTTTCTCTCTTTGGCTACGCCTGTCCAGTAACAGTCAGTACTTATAATAACATTTAGCACAGACAGGTGTCACAGATGAATTATTGATTAGTCTTTTATTTTTCTCAATATATAACCTTCCCGGGGAAAAAATGTAGGGGTAGCAGGAGAACTAGCAAATGTGATAGTAGACATATTGGCAGTTCAGTGATTGATAGATTTTTTTATTAGCATTAATTGCCACATACCGTAGAATTTACGTATTCATGAGTGTTTCCCATGATGCCTCCTAAATTAATGATCGTTACAAACTCGCACTCTACAGAAAATTTGTACAATGAAGTCGAAAACAACCTCGTACGACTTATGGCGCAGGCTCATAGTTTTTAAGACAAGGCAAGTCTTACCAATTACCGCCGTCACTTAATTTCGTCAGCTTTATTGAGGGCCTATGGTAAATGAAAATTTAGAGCAGGAGTTCTTACAACCAACTTGTTTTGACGAGATATTATATAATGCATGTGATTCCATCAAGATTGCTGTCCGCTTTAGAGGTAGCTTAAAAACAACATACTGTTGTATATCACCATTTATTTAATTTGATATTGCTTGGTTAAACTTTGACACCCCTTAACTTGTCTAACGTGTTAAATTTTATAGCCGCTTATCGATGATACGGTGAATCTCCGAGCTCTACAATTTGCCAAATGTAGTTTGCCATCTAGCGGCTGACGCATTACCCTACAGTATCCGAAACATCGCAGCTGGAAGGCAAATAGCACCAATATGTCGTGGTCACAACCCCAATATTTATTATGAAGAAAGTGTGTCGCATGCAATATAATAGAATGCGAGAGGGTTGCTACATGCTATGCTGTGCTATCGAACGGAACGATATACGTCGACCAATCTAAAGCCATTTGTCGTTCGTATATACGTCTTAACGGTTTTATTTCTTCATTCTCACATAGTACCGAGTCGCACCCATTTCCAATGCTCGAGTCACTTGTTGCGGAGTAGCTCTTGAAGGATGCATTAATAAGTTCGGTACAACATAACTGCTTATCGTGCAGCAATTAACGTTTGCATCGATTAGTTTTTTACTTCTGATCTGTGTAGTTGTGTCAGTATCCATGCCTATATAAAAACAAAAAGTTTGGTGCTCATATGTGTCATATGCGATTCGGTATATATGTCTATGTACGTTTATGTAAGTCAACGCTGTATAAAAAAACACCTTAGTTACAGGCACATCGAAAGCAAAAGCACAGTTTCCACTTATATGTATCATTGTTGGTGTATACCCGAGGTTTAAAAATATGTCTCCGTTCTGTCATCTAGGAAGTAAGGAAGTAGACGTCCATCCCAACGGAAATAAAAGCAGCCCATGAAATGTCAGCCTTGTCCAAGACTGTCAGTAAATCAGAGAAGATCGGTCCTTCTTTGTTTCGTGACATCGTTATGTCTTCTGGACCTAGCTGTTTGCTGTTTAATGTCCTAATACATGGTTTAATACATGGTTTGAACTTTCAGTGGAAAATTTTGATAAGTACAATGATAAGAATGATTCCGACAACAGTGCCAATGATGATATTCATTTTGGTGTTTTGCCACCAATAGCAACGTTTAAGTTTTCGCGAACTCTGCTCGAATTGTGAGGCGTCGTTTTGGAGAGCGAACGCGCGGTCGCCCAGGTCTGAGAGTTTCTGGTCCCTTTCAAGCACCTGTAGCACAACAAAAAAAAACATGAAATTAGTAATAGTTATGTAGGAAAGTCGGGCGGAAAAAGCAAGGTTATCTCTGTGTTGTATCGTTGGTCAGGAGTTACATGTGAAGAAGATACAGATCATTAAGGTAGTTACTAGGCAGTGTACTACCCCCCTAATGAGCCTTAGGTATGGGTGCAGAGGAGTAAAGGTGAACTAAATAGGATAATCAAATAAAATGAGGTGTGTGGCACGTGAAAGAGACATTGTGTGACATATATTAAGGAGTGCGCTCAAAATGAGAGAACTTTAGCTGTTTATATAACGAGCATTCGCCGACGCGTTACTTATGGTAAAAGGCAAAAGCTAGTTCTTTCCAGAAAAAACAACAAATTCGTCGCTGCGCATTATACTAGATCGATTCGAAATCAGCAAAGATGAACTAATTTTTCTTCGCTGGACAAATTTCATCAGAATTAAAAATCTCCCGTTTTTGCCGAAATTGACGGCCTTAGTTTCCATCCGACTTCAGAAAAATTCTAGGAAGACTTGCACAAGGCAAACCGTGACATCCGGAATAAAATTATTTACATAATTTATATAATTAATAATAATGATACAGACATAACGTTGAGAGAAAAATGGGAGATTAGTCTTCATGTATTTACACATCAAAAGAGGGAACTCAATGTCCAAAACAAAATGGTACTTAATATACAATGATATCACAGTCAGCCGTTTGGATATTTTTCTTTGTATCCAATATAAAACACAAAGCTATATATTTACAAGTGAGAAAATACGTTGTTACATATCTTAGTTTATCCACTGTTTCTGTACTTACAACAGTTTGTTAAACTTCATAAATTCGTTAAATATATTAACTCGAAAACTTGGTCATTAAATGATATTTTAATACAAGCTATTTGTAGATTTTTCCCAACTTACATGGACATTCACGATTTAGAAAAAAATTATAGTAAAATAAATAAATGACAATATACCAATAAAGTGTGCAAACCGACGTAGAAACCGACGCCATTTAGCTTGGCTTTGCTTTTATAAAGACTTTCTTTTGAAGCGAAATCGCGAACTCGAATCGAATTAATGTTTCCTGCACCGTATATACTTGGTTGTAATGAAGCTCTGAAAGTAGGTGAAGAATGGGTAAAAACATTTGTGGAAGGCTTATAATTTCCTTTAGAGGCAAACAAGGTTACGTATACAAGCATAAATATTATATAAATAGTAAGCAATTGATTGATGTATTCTACAAAAATTAGGTATGCTTTACTCGTATCCACACAATTGTTCTAAAGTGATTTTATTTTAGTTTAAAAAAATCACGTTACCCGTAGGTTAAATAAACATCAAAAATAAATGCTTTGAGGAATGGTTTACCTTAACGTGTCGCCTTATATTTAATGATATATCAACAAAGCTTTTGTCTTGTTAGGCTTGCAAGCTCGATTAAATTTCACTGCTGTTGAATTCTTCTTTAGATAAAGCATCGGTATTGTATTCTTTAGTAAATTTATTTAATATCATGTTTTTTTTTTATTTTTAACAGAATGCTTACTTAATTTTAATTTAACATATTATTTGGTGAATTAGACTGATGTTCAGTTCCCTTGCACTGTATGACCAAGATTGTTATTTAGTTTAAAACTTTATACCACGTTCGTAGGTACCCTTACATGTACCCATGGAAACTCTCACTTAGCTTAAAGAGATAATCCAGTCGAACTTTGACTACACGAAATTTCAAGTGTTCTCTAGTACGCTTTAGTTGTTTGGAAACTCTCATAAATGTACAGGTGCAGCTCTATCAATTGTAGCGGTCTTTCAATGGACTAATACACACATACGTGTTCTTCCTAATTTATTGTTACATACAGGCTTTGGTGAAGCAGCTAGAGATGCTCCAGTATGTTGTTTATAATTGACTGTAATGGGTAATTGTGTGCTTCTATGAATACCCATTCACATGTAGCTAAGGGTTATACGGAGTCAATCAGTAACTGCTAATAAGTACATAGCTCGCAGAGAGCACCGAGACATGCGTATATATGCATCGTCGAACATAACTTCCAGAGGTTCCAGGCGTAGAAATCTAAAGGGCATTCTATATTGGATCATCAATAAGGTGCTTTAGACATAATGACAGGCTTAGTCATTACTAAGCACACGAATCCATTTTAAGGAATCGCAACATAAAAAACCAAGCTGCAACTGTTTAGCTAGGTGCATGGCAGTGTTAGAGCTACCTATGCAATGAACATATCAAAAGTGTACAAAACTTTTTTCAAACAAAAGTTCAACTTTTTTCAACAAAAGTTTTTTCGCTTGGCAAACTATGTTCGATGTAGGCGCTAATATTATTGAAGGCTCTCGATAATCGCTTGCTGTATAAATATTATGAAGAATACCGATAGAATACACAGTTTGAGAGATGAAAGCAGTAAAACTAATCTTCACTGCTTAAAGATAAGTATTCTATTGAGTTCAGTTGATTTCCGATATCTAAGACTCGACTAAATAATGTTTACTCGCCTTTTCAACGTTTGTTCGCATGATTCCGACGACCTCGTTAACTTGAGCCTGGGTTTGTCTGAGTTTGTTAGCATTTGGATCCACCTCGCCGCCCTTAGATGCCATTTTGGAGTTTGTAGCAAGTTCAAAACGCGGCACAAGATACTTGTGCTATACTTCACGATTGTTACAACAAATTAAATCGGCTTTAAACACACGAGAACCACTTCTTTGCAAAACTTCTGGATGAACTGCCTTGCTTTACTCTCCCCCAAATGACTAAGTAATGTTCCTCCTTAAGCCTGTTTTGTGCAAGGCTGACTAACTGCGTGTCTTTTACGTTGGCCGGCAGCGTATGTTGCCGCTGTTGCTTCTTGGCTGTGGGGAAGAGACGGCTCACAAACGGAGCTATCAGATGATCCCTCGAATGAATGAATTGCAGGAAAGCGCGCTTTTAGCCAAGCGGACAGTGGCAATGTGTAACGACAAACATGAGTAAAATGCAAATGAAGTTCATTCAAGAAGAAGCCGGGTCCGGAAAAGTTAGTTCCAATTTAGTTAGCAAGGAACTGTTATTAATGATGCAGCAAGAAAACCTAAGATACAAACATGCTTGGCGCGCATAACAAACTTTTTGGGGTAGAAAATAGGATAGTACTTTTCTCTTCTATAGTAGTTGTATAGAGTATATAGTATAAAGTAAATTGACTAGCTTTCTTTAAATTGAACGTTTGCGTACCTTATATTAACATATATAAACACAATGGTTTAAATACGCTGGCGTGTTAGACAAAAATGTGCTCTCGCCTATTCGGTGCCATGAATTTAGATGATGCCGCATACTCTTTTGCAGTAAGAAAACAAAATGGAAGTTGGAAAGGTTTAAAGATCACAGCAAGATAACGAGAAGAATTACGGCCGCTATGTATCGAGAATAGGATTCGTTTGAATGGTTTTCACCAAGGGTTTTTGTTTTTCAGAACATCGTTTGACTTGTGATGCACGCGTCTCCAGGGCGTGCGTACGTTGGTCAAAGTGTTATAGTTTACAGTCGCATTCGATTAGCTATAGAGCTAAACATGACAGACGAAGGACATCAAAATTGTATTAATCGTACTGAGTCAACAATATAGCACTAGTCTGATGAAGTAGCTTTGTATCCGTGACAGCGTAGGGGGTAACTCGTTTGCCTGCTGAGCCTAGAAACTTGAAATGGTTAAGACTGGAATCCGGGCGAAGACACACCTTGTTTCGTGTTGGGGCCATTCGTAAGTAGTGCCTCAACATACCAAGTAGTTCTCAAGTAATGCCTAAAGTACTAGATGTAGAACACAAAAAAAAAAACACTATTTTGACAATGTTCCATAAAAACAAAGAAGTTTTTATTTCTTTTGAAAAATTCATTTTCACTCAGCTTATGATGTTAGTTCACTTTAGTCGTTACTAAAGGGCTTATACTATCACCACACGTATAATCTGGCGGACGTTCTATGCAAGACTTATTCGCTTGGCTTCAATATATCGAGCGTTAGCAAGCTATATTAAAAAACGTTTGTTTAAATATAATCACAAAAATAGAGTCTAGCTTAATTGAGAATGGATTCGTAAACCGTTTATATAGTAACGAATCGGCAAAGAATTAAACGCGCCTTTCAAGTGAGTTTACCGTATCTTACTAGCTCGTCCATACGCAAACTCATATTTGCACAAACGGAATAGCAAAAATGTGAATATAAAAATTAATAATGTTTATCCAATTGTTTCTGTAATTTCAAAACTATGAAATAAATATGATTGAATGTTTCCTATTCCCAAGGTTCTTTTGCTTTTGTATGAAAATTTCAAGAGAAACGTGTTCGAAATGATGTGCTTACCTTTTTTATATTTTGTCGCACAATTTGCAGATTTATGCCCCGTTTACTTACGTTTGCTTGAACGGATTGACGCTCGTATAGGGCCTGCTGTGGTGTGAACCACTCGGCGTACTTGAGGATACCGCTAAAAGATTTAACTAGGTCGACAAACTTCATGAACTTCATGTGATACATTTCGCTAGTGATTCTGCAGAACAGGTTTACTTTGCACAAGCATAAAAATTGCTCTCTCTATCAAGCTCTCATCAACATTAACTTCAACCTGTGCCTACATATGATAGAACAGTGCTGCGAAAAATTGGTGTATCAAGAGTTGCCCGAGCCTTTCAGTCGGGTTCGGTTTTATTGGGTTATACGTGGCAACAAGGAACAGAAGTGTCTTTCGGGATCGGCAAAAAAACAGACTAAAAACGCGGAAAGCACTCAATAAATGAATTGTTTAGCCAGCACAATCTTTGGTAATTTCAGACTTGGCAGGCGCTCGCCTTCTTCATCCAAGATCACTTTTCGAAATGCCAGCTAATTGATTCTTACATTTACATTTAACATCAGTATAATGATGAGAAGGAAAAAGGATGTAGTGTCTTTATCTCTTCTTTATTTATGTCTATTTTTTTACGCAACAAAGAATATTTTCGATATAAATGAGCACATAGTATCTTGTAAATATTGACTAACTCATGTTGATCATGAACCGTTTCTATAACAGACCCTCAGCTATACCTTTTAGGATAGAGCTTGGGAGCCCTGTCGTTATTTCAAGGATTTTCGCTGGTCATGAAGATACTTTTCGTGCTCCTTTGCAAAAAACCTATTTGATTAGGAATGTAATAAGTCTAAGAGTTCGAAAGACGAGCAGATTTAACATTTGAAGATATGCTTGCAAATGGATAGCAGTGATCTTGAAAAGCATTATTATACGAAATCCTTAAATTTATACAGCTGAGTCGCCACTATATTCTTCCCTTAACTAGCAGAGAAAACGTGTGCCTACCTTATTAGCTGATTTTTTTGATCAACTCTTGTCCATATTTGTTTTAGTTGAGTGCTTGTATAGTGGCAGCATTCCAAAATGTTTGCGTATGCTATGTATATTTGTACAGGTAGGCTAGCTGAGCTCGAGTTATTTGACAGAGGTCTGAGCGTTCTTATTGATTAGGTATTCTCCTTGTAGATACGGCAGCGGTTGCAGTAGGCAGAAAATAACTGAGCTAGGTGGGCTTGAATTTTAGGGCAAAGGTGTCGCCACGCCACCGACTAAACGATTCCCGTCAATGTCTTGCCACCAACATGTTCGCTTGACTACTTCTCGAAGCATTTAGAGAACCAAGGGGCGTAAAGGAAGATCACGGGATTATGTTAGACATGTTATCAAGGGCTAATCATATACACATATAAACAGAGAAAAAACAACTTTATAGATAGCAGTCTGACTACTTTCACCTCTGTCAAATATGAAAACATGAACAGCTAGTGTGCATGTTAAGTGAGATACTGTCGTACTAAGTTGACGAAATTATACGCAAAATACATTAACGTCAATTTCCACCAGTTTGAACATCAATTTCATATACGAGCATACATATAATGTGTAAGTTATTTTCTGTGATTAAGGGGCTAGTTGTCTGATAACTTAAATTTCATAAACATACTTGAAAAAGCCTACTTCTCTATGGCAGCTCTCCAGATTCACTGCTGCACCTCAGCGACTTTTGGGCCTGCTTGATTTCATAGGTATTTGGGTTGAGATCGTTATCATCCCACCATTCGTAACTATCGCCGAAGTTTTAGTTAATTTGTTTCATTCACTGTGTAGTGGACTTCAAAAATGATTCATCTCCAAAGCCTTGATCAACACCGACTGTTCAGCAACTCTTGATCTATGGTGTTTATCTTCCAGTTCGATCAGGTGTTAGTAAAGAGAGAAAAGAAGGCGTATGATTGTCGTTTAGGGATGACAGTAGACTAGTATCAAAACGAGACAAATTTTCCATAGCAAAATGCTTAGGCATTATTGGTCATTAGTGATTTCGAAATACATGGATTCGTCTCTCTCTCTCTCCCTCTCTCTTGCTTTCTCTCTCTCTCTTTTGTCATATTACAGCATTTCTATGTCATGCAAGTGAAGATATTTTAAAAACGATATATTTGAATTCAATAAGAGTATTATGTTCCTTAATAAATAAGTAAATCTATCGGTTCTACTTTTTTTTTTCACTCTACAAAAATATTATTAAGCAAAACTGTACAGAATTTAAACCTATGTTCCCGCCCTCTTGCTAGTGGCGCTAGGCCATAAAAATTGTGAATGGATGAATTATGATAATATTTGGAAATAATGCACCGCCTTTCCAAGCATGGTAATATATGGCATATACAGCAAATTATTTTCAACGCATTTGGTAGCCCGTAACGGGTAACGTAATTGGTAACGAATAACAAACAATTCCTTCAAAAATTGTGCATACATCAATTATAATAATTTTCAAGGACATATTTGAATCAGTCATGTAGTTACTCCTGTTATAAAGGTTTTTCAAAGAGATTTTTGTGAAAAAAAAATAGCATTAGTTGGTTACAGGAGACATATAGCTTATTTCCTCGAAGTTACTCAATTAACACTGGAACGGATGTTGCTATTTTTCATTGTTACTATTTTGAATCTATTGCTACACTGGCCTTTACTACTATCCTTTGTGACAATTGTCCGGTGAAAGTTGACATGGTAAGATTTTGTATAGTAGTCTGTGTGACTGAATAGATTTTATCTTAAGTAGGCCAGGATTGCCTGATTTCCTAGAAGCGTCCTATTTAGCTATCACTTTATTACATTGAATCTTAAATAAATATTGCTTTGGCATATATCAAGATAGTACGTCGTTTCGTGTGTTGACAAAATATTTCGATAATAGTGGAATCTTGAAGACTCTGGAGCGGTATGACATTAAGATCCCGAAATCACGCTAGTGAAGTACTCACATCAACTCCATTAGAGCAATAAGAATGGATTACAAAAAACAGTACTTTTAAAATCAATATGTGCCCATAAAAAAGTACTTTTAAAATTAATATGTGACCATAAAGAACAGTACTTTTAAAACTAATATGTATCCACTAGAAAGTCAGGCACTGAGTTTCTTGAGCATCGATCGTTAGAGCTGCTGCGTGTTCTGTACTCTAAATACCTGAGCATTAGTCCAATAAATAATATCAAGAATAAAGATATTAGAGTAACCATTAGGCATAAAGTAGATTTTTTGCTCTCACATTAATCTTTGACTAGCAGTGCCTCGTAATTTTCAACTCCAGTTTTTTAAACCACTACGCAGGCCGTAAGGTAGATAACTTGGGCTTCACAGCCATCCAACTTCCGTGTGTCTCTCCGAAACTGGTGGTATATATTGGTATTCCTTTTTCTCTTGTAAAAGACATCGGGCCCCTTGTAACTGGTCATTTAACGATCCCATGTCTTAGGTTGGTACAGCAGTTTTAACTCTGCAGTTAGTTACGATATTTTCTTATGAAAGAGAGTTCCAAAGAGACCTTTCGCGCAAATGTCCAGATTCGAACACGCGTAACAAATTTGCTAATGATGCCAACCTACCTGCAGCCTGGGCCATCACGGGGACATTAACAGAAGTGTAGCATACGTAGGATATGTTCAAGTCAGCAGAAGACAGTACACGCCATTGCGAAAATTTGTGGAATGATGCTGCTATTAAACCTCCTACGCTTTTTGTATTAGCCATCCATATAGAACGTACGAATCGCTAGGATTATATCAAAAGGAATAACATGTTTAAAGCAAATGTTTACCAGGGTTATGTAATGAAGAGACGATAACGCAATCATTGAAGCAGTGACCTGGGGGGTGTGGAATTAATGCATCCATTGAGTGCTGCGCTCCACTTTATGCTCGCCCTGCGTCATGAACCAACCCTGTTGTGCTAATAATAGTGACTACTGTTTACGAGTAACAGTCATTTAATTCCGATGGCGAGATTTGAGCCAGCCGCCTCTGGCCACTTTACTATAAGCTTGGGTTAATGGCGATGAGAACTAGAACCGCTCTATGAAGTGAGAAATCGGAGAGTTAAACATCTATAAGATAAAATATGCTTAAAGCACAAATTTATAAAGTAGGTTTTTTTAGACCACAAACTTAGTATAAATATAATTGTAATTATAGAGTTCAGGAGATCGTAGGATAGATGTATAGTATACTCCAGTAAAAAGGTCCATTCATGTGCTAGATCTTTCGACTGTCTTTTGTACAGTTCCTCATCGACTGTAGTATTTTATGCTAAAGGGGGTAAATGGAAGGGGTACAAAGAATTTATTCAAAACTCGTTAGTGAAAGGGCCTTTACTGCAAATACTTAAAGAACGTGGGAAGGAGTAAGGCACTATTGGACAGAGACTATGTGGTTTGCTCTATTTTTCCTAGTTAAAGAACGCTGATTTTGAAAATTAACACTATTGAACTTCGAGAATTTCTTAAATGTACACGGGTCAGAAAATTTATGCAATCGCGTTGGTAAATTTTTTTATTGCGTCCAATTGAGAAAGATAGGGCCATTTGGGACAACTAAGCTACAGTCGGCAAAAACTGTGTAAAGAAAGTGCTTTCTCTTACTGAGGGCAATTTTAAGCCATATTTCAGTACTAAAAATGTTTTTTCAACAAATTATTAATGGACCTGACTAATCTGAAAACTGTATCAGCAAGTTTTAAGCTAAATAGGCCTCGAAAGCACTTATCAGCAATATTTATGCAAAAACGTACTTGCGATTCAAAAAGCAACCAGCAATTTAGCGGTTATAATGGAGAAACAGGAGTATTCGGTTCGCTATCAGCAACTGGATATATACGTAGTGCAGATATCTCTGAAAACAATATCCTGAGTTCGTTGGAGACTCTGGAGTACACTGTAGTAAAGTCAAGCTTTTCCACCTACCTTAAAGGATATTTGATTCACGTAACACCAATTATATATAATAGTTTGCGTTTTAAGTGAGGGTTAGTGCACTTCTCCAACACTTAGCGCACGGCAAGGCAAGACTTGGTTTTGCATAAATATATTAAAGAAGAGCAAACTGATACAACAGTGGTATTCCAGCAAACCGCCACTTACGTTTCAGTATGCACGGGCAGCACGTTTGTAATAATTAGTCTGGCGTTAAGTTTGTCTACATGATTAAAATAAGCGATATCAAAAAAACGTGCAATTAGACGCTTAGAGTCTGGATGTCCAACTTATTTTAAAAATTAAATGGAACACCACCTCGTTATTACTGATCAGCAAAGCCGAGCACCTGTTCTTTCATTAAATCTCGTACGAGATTTCTTATTCAGCAGCCTTGGACGTATCCTGTAACGAGACCTTATTCTGGTACCATTATAGAAAGAACCTTTTTACAATTCTCTAAATCGGTAGAAAGGTTTTTGGTCATGACTTTTCTTGAGTGTTCTCCAAAGATATCTCCTAAGATCTCCTTTCTGCTGTAAGCAGGGTAGTAAATTGGCGAGGTACACGGTACTTTCAGGATACGTACTATAGATACAGATGGTAAGGGCTTACGTTTATATTACAAACGAAAACAAGGTTCGAGATTATTTTGCATGTCGGAAGCTGTTTCAGGTTTGGCAATCATAACTAAGGATGCTGGAACTCAAACAAAAATATGCTTTTTTTACCCTGGTGGATAAACCCTACCACCAGGATAACTTTCCTGCTCGTCGTGCAGCTTCTAAGAAATCCGAGCAGGACATCCAGAATGGAAAGCGAAACGTCCGCAGCAAAGATAACGGTACCTTAGAAATAAAGGTACCTGAAAGGTCATTAATATGAATACTTTGTTGACGATTTCGGAGTTTTTAGGTAGAGGTTAGCATAATAAGAGCATTCATTGCTAATGGAGTCCGACGGTTACTTTTTTCTAATACTTTTCACGCTTTCTTACTCGTTTTTGACGGTCTGGTTTTTTTTGTAGCATTGAACCTTTGGTCTAGTTCAGAATGAAAATTCCCTCAATTTTATGTGTATGTGACTCTGTTGAATGAAACACCAACGCATCGACACACAGCAAGGCTGCTTTAGTCACAACTCTATTTGAAAAGTGATCTTAGATAAGGCTTTTTCGAAGTGATTTGTCAGCGGGTTAGACTCTGAGTTGAAGCCGACATCGCCCCGAGTGGTGGTTCCATTGAATACGCACGTCCTGTTGACGCGTGGAAAAATTTCGTCTAAGATCCGTTTCTATTGAAATATTACTTATAAACAAATAGCATCAATTTGGTTCTACAATTATCTCGAGCACCCTGTATATAACGTGTGTAAAATAGTTATATCACAGAATTTTCGTTAGAAAGCTACGAGACCAAAAAATGAACAGTATAAAAATCCAAACTTCAGCAAAAGTTTAGTGAGTGAAAGTTTTTTTTAGAAGTCGATATTTTTTTTTGTCAAAAATCCTTATCACTATCTTTCAAAAGTTTGCGTTAAATGAATAATGTTTCATACATTAAACTAATTTCCTACATCATCTGTCCATTAGGTAGCTTTCTTTCGTTAGCATTTGAAGACTGAACATTTTGTGACGATTGCGGCTTTCTCAAGTTGTCATAGACATCGACCGAATACAGATGGACTTGCGTTGCCAAGCTGTTCGTAATTTATTTGTTTTTTTTTTTGCGATTTGTTCATTTATCATTAGCTAAAGTTTGCCTAGATTAGTACGTATAGCGTCAATATTTTTACCGTACTATGGGATATTACATTACAGGGTGTATTGCCTGTACACCTTCAAAATATACTTCTTAGTGGATGCAGGCTCAAAAAATCGTCTATCGTTAGTTACAGCGCAATAACCCCGAAATATTTACACCTTTCTCTCTTTTTTCTTTTACAATACAAGGCTTAGTAGACTCGTTTCAGTTTATTTGGAATTTGTGTATTGCACTTTCCGTTTAAAGCTGCCGATTCTGTTCATGCCAACACAGAGATATAATTAGCATCGTTTTCCTTGTCTATTCGTAACTTTGATACATGGTTTTAGTACCAGAGATGGTGTCACCAGCGCACGGCCGCAATAATACAGCATGGACCCTTGCTACAGCCAGTGTGGGGATCCTGGACCTCTATTGTACCAATGGGGCATCTAAAGGGACTACAGAAGCCCTTGAATTCGGTGACGCAGCGTGTTTCGAATGACAGGATTGTATCACCTGGCGAAAAAAGAACCTCAAATTTAGAACCAACAATAAAAAAACAACAGTCCAGCCTTGAATATGTTCTGAGAAATCCACGTTTTGTAGTACAAAGTAAAATCTGGATATGCCGTATTTTACGAACACGCACTTTTAGGGGTTGGCTCGCTTTACGGCAGAATAAACAATGCCTTGCACAACATGTCAATATTAATTCTATTCAGTTTGACCCCCTGCTTTCAAGAAGAGTTTGTAAGCTGAAATTAGCAGCTTACACCTCGGTAACTTGTCTTGCACCATAGGCACCATAGTACATAATCAGCCTGAAGTTTAGGGAACATATGGAATATCAATAGAGGTCCGCTCTTTCCAAGTTCGTTCGTTCGTTCGATGAATTAACTTTGAACTCAAAACTTAAAAACAAAATAAAACTAGGCTGTTTGAAAGTCATTCGAAGAAGTAACGCATCGTGCTAGTCCGTAGTGCTGAAAGTCACATTTATCCTATGGTGCCGAATATCCTCCTAAACGCCCAGTGTCTGTTATAAAATACAGCACTGATACAGAGTGTATGAATAAACATTATGCTGCTGTCAATTGTCTGATTGCAAAACTGGGTTTAAGAAGTAACTATAAGGAATACTTTATCGCAGCGCGTTATCAAAAATCAACCAATTTCTCTTTGGCCTGCGCTTCGAATTCGAATTGCAAATACTTCTTAGCTAGAGGCCTAAAATAAATAATAGAAATTAAAAGAAAACACAAACTGAACTAGCGATCTTAAGCAAAAAAAATCGTAAGAATGGAACAGTACGTTTTTTCGGTCTCGCCTGTAACACACCTTGCACGACTGCGACAGAAGCGCACAGCACAACAATGCATATTAGAGCTGGCCTCATTATCTTGAGATTTGTTGTCATGATTTTGCTTATAGTTTTAGGCCAGCTATTCCAAATGACTTCTTGCTACTTCGCAGGATTGTCAAACAAACTTCTTGAGTAGTCCTTACCGAAAGAAACGGATTCGAAAGACAAATAACTGCATTCGAACGCACAAACGCAAAATATCATTATTAAATTTGCTAAATAACGAACTCTATGGTCGATGGTTCAATGAAATGTCACCATCATGAGTAATTCAAGTTACACACATGAACACGAAGTTTTGAAGATGAAATTGGATAGTGGTAAAATGTGATAACGCTCACGTGCCTTCTTGAAGCTACGACTCCTATGGCCTTGTCTTCGTAATTTTGGGCAAGAGCTAGGTAAAAAAAAAAAAGCTGTCCTACGGGGTACTCAGTAAGGGCACGGGAATAAATCAATTAGGTGATAAAATCGTCTGCCGGAGCTGATGCAAGGAATATACCAAAACGAGGCACAAACAGATAGAAAATGAGAGTCACTTCCTCCTGATGAGGGCGCTGCTTCTTCAAGTTACATCTATATATATATATATCGTATCTCCTGGATTCAACTGTCACCCACCTGCTCATATTGTGCAGAACCAGTTAGACTGGTACTACCCGAATTTCACGAAAAAAAAGTAAAATTTTTATTTTACACAATTTCGCGATAAATGCTACGCGTATGATCAACGATAATAAACTACTCAATTTATTTCACCTGGGTCAATCTTATTATATGTAAAATTCCAGTTCGCAATTGTTCTCCGTTAAGATCTGCAGTACGAGCTGCTCGCATAATATCTCAATATAACATAACATACTCCAAGGTAGACTGCCTATTCAATTGTACACAGGAATAAAGCTCACTAGACCCGCAACATTATACGCGTACTTACCAAAGTGCCAGAACTCTGATCACTACCCATTAAGTATGAATGGGACAAAATTGGTAAGCTACCCCATTTACTACTGCAAGCGATTAGCGAGCTCTAATGACTGATAAATTAGCTTTCCTGTCGCTTTACTCATCAATCTGCTAGTCTGTACTAGTCGATGCAGAATTGCATAGTTCTAACTTTGGACTTATTCAACCTAGTGCTAACTACAGTCAACAGAAAACGAAGCTTAAACGACCTGCCTTTTGTGCGGTTCCAGTGAAAATGTATCAGTCAGTGCTCCTTTTCAATATAACGGAACTCCTGAAATTCAGGGGTTGAAAATCGATGCAACGATCAGTGAACAAATAATTCATAGAAATGTTCAGTTTCAGCTATGATAAAACGTTTGCAATAGCCTTTTTGTTGATTTTTTTTCGATGGTTTTTATCGATTGAGCGCCGATTGAGGAAGAGAGCCTACGATGTTGTCGGTCACTTTTTATTTTACTGGCCCACTGTCGTAGGTTCTGGTTTTCGCTGTTGTACTAGACTAATTACGATGAGCGGCTTGTGCACTCTGGTAGTGCCATTGGTTCAAGTGTTTCATTCTGCTTAACTTATTTTCCGACCTCCGTTTATTAACACTGCAGACAGCTCTTGCCTGTATAGCGTTGAAGAGTATAGTGAGCTAATGCCATAACAGTGCTCCGCACGAGCAGGCAAACACGGCAATAGCAGTGAAATTTTAGTTAGCTAAAGAATTCCTTTCAATTGAAGTAAAGGCAGGGATGCCGCGAGTTTATGAGAATAATGTCCCTTATGTGTGGTCGGACAAAGCCGAAACGCTACTGCTGGAATCTATGACAGCGTACCGCAGTTGACGGTCATCTCTCCAGAACCGATTTTCCACAGTGTATGATACTACTGCTTAAATATCAGTATCAATTTGGTTTCTCGGCCTAGCTATATTCTGAGATATCGATCACTAGCGTACGAATGAGCGCTTGAAAAAGTTGTGTAGTAAACGTTGCTTTTAGCAGAAGACCCTGAAAACAATTTCCCTCGGGTAAGAACCTGTAGAGTATGAAAAAGAATTACAAGGGCTTTGGGCTTGTAGTTCTGGTTTGTTTCAGACTGGGGTTCTTCTCTTCAGATAGCATGATCTTCTCAATCGATGCAAAGATACATGTACTCCTTTACATTCTTAGGCTGTGTTTTTTATGCCACGTTTGCTCAAACATAAGAATTTAGAGGTAAAATCGGGCATAAGTGACTCGCTGGCCCAATATTAAAAACGTTTACCAAACACTAGCACCATATGGGACGGTCTTCACATATAGGATCAACGCATTTAGTACTGGAATATATTTTCTTCAGAATAATTCTTTTTCTCCTTTATATTATGCAATCATTTTTTTTGCAAAAAAAACTCCATTTGAAAAAACTCTGCCAAATAAAGAGTTTTTTCAAATGGATAGGACGAAATCACACATTAATCGCTGGGTGCTACAGTTGAGTAGAGGTAATTTTACAATGGATACTGAAATATCCTACTTGACGTCATTCAGATCGACTCATTATTGGACAAAAAAGCAGCATCTTAAATTTGAACAACGAGGAGAATCTCGACGCTTGTTTATTAGAATTAAATTAAAAAAAAAAGTTGGCTTGCTAACTCAGTATCGCAGCTACTTACCTAGCTTTACCAGCGCCATCGTTAGAAAATGTCACAAAGAGAAAGATCCATAATTAATCGAAACCCTAAACTGCTCAAGATTTTCACCTCAGCCATTATATCAAGAGCTCCGAACTAGTATGTCGGGGCCCGTTGTTTTCGCTAAGTATCACAGATAGTTTGGCATTTGGCGACTTCTAACACTTCCAAGGTACATCAGTTGTTAGAGCACCGCACACGAAAAAGCATTATTCTAACAAGGGCGTTGTTCAAAAAAAGATTGTTCAACGGCCAGTAGAAAATAAACCCGCTGTTTGTCGTGGGCGTTGGTGCTGGAAGGGTTGAACCTCACTCGTCGCTTCTCCAAGGATGTTTACTGTGCTCAAAATTAACGGAGATATAAACTGAAATTACTACGTCCTTTCAGCGTTAGTTTGTACCTTCTCATCTGCAATTCCTCCTTTATAAACATTACTGAGACATGATATTTATTTCTAAACTTCGTAAACTGTGTTAAACGTACGTAGTTGAATGTTTCCAAGTATGTTGAAATTTATCAAGAAACAAAATGGAGGAAAGATTTGATAAGCTTTGATTGGTAATTAGTGATATTCAACTATATTGCCATAAATGCGAACATCCTTCAAAAAATGCAAGGCGCGTATGCCTTAGCATAAACACGTGTGTGCGTGCGAAGAGTTTTCTGACGATCTAGGACGCATGGGTGTAAATTTCTCTACGCCATACAACTTGAACCATTTCCAACGCTGCTAACAGCCGATATTATCTTTTTCCTGGTTGTGTTCGAGTGATTTTCAAGCTTTAGGTAAAGACGTATACGGAGAATAAGGCAAGGTGTAGCTAACTTAATTCTTGTTTTGCATTAAGATACTAAGCATAAAGCTTTTCTAAGCGTTTCAAACCGAGATAGCATGTATCTGAAAAGGAAACGGATTATTAAACGACAATTTAACACAAACTATATACTGGGGTAGGACAACGACAACGCTTTGCTGCTAGTTTTACAGCAACCTGAAAGCCTTGTTTTTTTCTTCTGAAACTTGGTGCCGTGCGCATTCAGTTAATAAAATAATGGCTTCTATAATAGCATTACTCTTTATGATATTAATTCATTTTTTTTTCGTTTTGCAGGTCTCTTAGTTCTTTGCACATACTTTATTTCAAAGACATTACCACTCGCTATTATAGCGACACACACACACACACACACACACACACACACACACACACACACACACACATATATATATATATATATGCATATATATATATATATATATATATATATATATGCATATATATATATATTCTCGATCAGTGTATAATTCTCTCGCATTCATAATCATTGTCGGCGTTATAACATTATGCTTTCGCTTCTTTGATTCTACTAAATGTTTCTTGTCTTGTTCTCATATTGGTTAATTTATATTTGCTTTCTACAACACATTGTCCGTAATGATCGCATTTTTTCTCCAAATTACTTCTACCTGGTTTCATTGTTCGCCGCGTTTTGTCCTGACATCTTCTCCCCTTCGTATCTACGTCTGTGTTCATCCCGAGGTAACTTTAATCTACACAATCATATACTGCACACACAATCAGCTCGACTCGCCCGCTCGTCGGTACTTTCGACCACCGAAACTAACATGAACTAAACGCTAGAGGCGTCTGCGGGTACGGCAGCAGCAGAAAGCAGTCTGCGGACTGATTTCCGGCTTGAAAAATATGCTGCCGACCATGGAAGATTTACTTGCCGCTTTTTTGGACCTGTTTCCCTATTCTCGCCTTACATTCGTCCGCAAAAACTAGGACCATCTCACAAGCGCTATCCGTCATCAGCATCTTTTCGGCAAGGATTCAACCATCTTTGTGGCCGATAGTTACAATGTTATTCTGCTTCGTTCTATGCCTCTTTGTCTTTCTCTCATACATGCACGCAGCTACACGTCTTCGCCATCTTTATTTACTTGCTGTATCAATCCCCCTTCGCACATCTTTTTCCATGTTCATCTATTTATGTCGCCGTCATCATCGTCGTTGTCTTCGTCATTGCAACTATACGGTGCATATTGACCAATTTGGGCTTAACCCAGTCGAACTTCATTCATTCCGCTGATGATCAAAAAAGGCTACGATTTGTCTGTGTATATCAATAGATTTGCTAGGTTTACTGTTGCGGCTCTGGCTAGCAGTTCAACAATATTTGCTATGCGCTAATATTTTGCATGCTCCACCGAGCGTACTTTATGTCCCGATCAAGGCTTATTGCGTTTTCTAGAGATTTCTGTATTGTAATAACGTCTCTGACTGCCCATAATGGAATACTATGAAACCTGCTCAATTCTCTGCGACGTGCCGTCGGCGAGACAACGTTGTGCAGTAACTCTAGCGCTGTTTATTTCAAATGATCGTAAAAAGTAATCAAGGGTACTGCAATTAATAAACGATCAGAGTTTTAAACGGGGTTCTAAATAACCCACAAACGAAACTCAAATCAAAACAGCAGTAGTCTCGCGTTCCGTGCAAACTTATCATATATATATATATATATACATATATATATATATAAAGAATTCTGGCGGGGTCCAATTAAGATGAGAATGTATCTATTTGGCTACCGTCCCTGCTCAGTAGCAAACACTTTGTTTGTAGGTTTCCTTGTTCAGAGTTTTTTTACTGTTTTTTTTTTAGATGTTGGCTCGCTTAGTACTTTATTATTCCCCGTTACTTCTCGAGTTGTAGATATTTCGATCTGCTTCGTATGTAACAACCAAGTCAATTTCAACTAGCATTTCACTTTAGCTAGCTCAGCGTCGGGCATCGCCGGCCTACGTAGCCGTCTACCTGTTCACCTATATTTTTGTCTCTTTTTTTCAAATAAAGCGCTATTACTGATTATATATATATGTTTATATATATATATGTTTATATATATATATTTGAAAACCGTAATGTACGCGTACTACCATAACATCAGTACACATGCCGCCATAAAGCATGTCGTCAAAGTCATAGTAGTCAGATTACGATGCTTATGGCGAGATCATGAAGAGACACGTTGCCGTTTATTGGCCTGTTCAACATGCTCGTTATCTTCTTGTGTTTTGCCCTCTGTATAGGAAGAATCGTTTGCTGGCCGCTTGCTACTGCTGCCGGTTTCGCCCGCGCCATTACAGCGCGCAGCCTCTGTCGCCTCCTCATTTTGTGGTACAATGGCTGGTTTGTCATCGTCCTGCAGTGCTTCAGTATTTAGCCGCACGATAATGCATGTCATATTGTCACAGCCAGTCCCGTCACCACTTGTATCTGGCGCGATGCATTTACGAAATAGCTGCTCGCAGATTTGACCAACGTTGTCACAATTTCGGATACACGCTGACACAAAGTCGCAAACCTCCTGCGATGTCATACAATTCCAAATGCCGTCACAGGCTAACACAAGGAAGTCATCCTTCGCTCGATCGAGCAAGATGGTTTGAACATCGGGTAGTGGCGAGATCATCTGCTCCTGTAGTGTCAGATCGTCATTCTGTTTATAGACGTGATCACCGATCGCACGGGACAGATTAAGGCCGCCATTAACACGGCCGTCAGGGGTCACTTTGCCGCCAGCGCGCTCGATTCTAGCTCGTTCGGGTGCGTCCTCAGGCTTGTGGTCCACACTGAGGTCGATAGCTTTGCCGTCTCGGCATAGGACAGCCCGAGAGTCGCCAGCGTTCGCTACGGTAAGGACGTCGCCCCTAATGAGGGCCACCACTGCTGTGCTACCCGAGCCGCTGCCAGGCACATCGCTATCAAACGTCTCAACTTCGTTATCGTCGTCGTCGTTTCCGAGGTCGTCTTCGCTGTCATTCTCCTGAAATAACAAAACAATAAAAGAATAAATGAGAGAGTGGTAAACGTTGTCCTTCCTTTAATGGCTCTGAATGGGAGAACTTTTTAAGAGGGTAAATCATTTCGTGCCAATGTGCACATGATTGCATATATATATATATATATATATATATATATATATATATATATATATAATGCTAGATTTCCAAGGGTTAGTAAACTTAAACCGGTAGGGGTGTTGCCTAGACGATTGGGGTTTATAGCCGGATTTGGTGTTCGACGAGGCTTGGCCGAAAACGTGAGTTGAAGAGTAAACGCCTAGGTATGAACTGCGGGTAGTCGACCGCTTGATTCTGAAAGTGCAACAGTACCTATAGAAAGACGATCCGAGTCTTGTTCGATTCGTGCGCATAGAGGTGGCTACATAGGATCGCTTTAAGAATCAATAACTGTTCTTCTTTAGGAGAAGGAGGAACCTGGGTCCTCTAAGCTGTTCTTTCGCGCGTAAAGAAGAGACGGAAAGACCTCCCAAATTGCTGAATGAGCTGAAGGGATCAGGCCCAGGTCTGCCAAAATCAGCCAAAGTATTTTCGGGTAGTAGCAGTTCTTAGTATTTCTAACTTGTCACAGGCCATGCTGACATAGACGAAACCGCTCGTTGACTGATCTATTTTCCGGGATACGAACTAGATCATATTAATTCATACGCAACTGCAAGGTTTACTGGCTTGTGCTAAAGCATCACAAAAATGCAGTCCTTCTACTACATAGACCGCAACTTCAGGGCGATGGAAGGTTCAGGCGCGTGAGACTGATGGACCCTCGGTCGGGTCGAATGCCAGTAGTAGTGCTATTCGTTAGTCGACTTCGAAATGCGCCGGACAAGCTCACAAAGTGTCAAACGGGAACGTCTAGAGAGAGCAGCGTTACGTTACTGGAAGGTAGAGCGTATCGGCCATACGGTAGGGACATATTTTCTTCACCAACATATATAAGATATAAACCTAAGAATTATACATACTTTCCGTATTCATGGGAGACTGACAATTATTGATTAATTTGTAGTTTATGCTCTACTCTCTTTCTTACCTACCGAGACCTACCTCGCTATCAGGCTCGTCCTCGTCATCATCGTCTCCTTGTCCCAGCTCGTCCTGATCCTCGTTTTCTTCATCCTCGTCTTCATCATCATCGTTATCATCATCGTCATCATCATCATCATCGTCGTCGTCGTCGTCGTCCTCGTCGTCGTCATCATCATCGTCGTCGTCGTCGTTCTCACCCGCCTCGTTCAGTCGGTCCTTGATCCGCTGCGTTGCACGCCGTTGAGCCGCACGTCCAGTAAGAGGTCCAGCAGAGGAACTTGCCGCTGAAAATGCAGATCCTGAAGAGCAGCTCCCTGTTCCTCCTTCACCGGCACCAACATCTGCTGAACCAGCCGCTGAAGTGTCTTTCTCGATTTCTAAGGACGATCTCTCACCTAAGAGAACAAATCACGAACGGAGACGAGTATCTATTATGTTCTTAAAGATAACGCATTATTCTGTGAGTCGTGCCGTAACATCTGAACTATAACATGTAGTAAAAACTTAAGCTCCAGTTGGGATTTAATGCATATAACGTAAGAAAAAAACAATCCATAACAAAAACGAAGATTGTATTTCGGGCCAAAAGTAAGGTTTTGTTGTGCAAAATAATATGCGATGCATATGTTCTAGGAGGTAAATGTTCTAGGTCTATACTGATAAGATTTCATTGATAAACATACCATGCTCGTATGTGACCCCATTGGTTTCTTCTGAAGAAAATCCTTCGTTGTTGGAAGCTCCTGCAGTATTGTTTACGTTCTCTTCCTTGAAATGAACTTCCTGGCTCCTTGCAGAACTGAGTTCGGTCTCCGCTTGGTCTTGCGAATCGTTTTGATTTTTTTTTTCTTCATAGGGTGTACCATTATTCGTTTCTGATGAAGTTTCATTTTTTTTAGCAGTATCTTTTTCCTGTTGAAAAGAATCGGCAATTATGGAGCTGTAGAAAAACGCGTGATATGAGAAGCAAAATAACATCTCTACTACTAGTCGTAATCACGACGCCTATATAAAGAGAGGTATTTATACCTTAATGTAGGAAGCGTCACCGATGTTTACAGTTTGTCCGACGTTTACCAGAAACGCTATAAGAATCCAGCATGACTAGACTTTACCCAGCAAAATAAACTCTGTGACTGAAAAGAAAACGATAGGTAGCGCCTTTGATGTCCAAAATAATGTCCACAAGCCAAAAAAATACCCGTACCGATATTAGCTCTTGGAAGATAATCGGCAAAACCAACCATAATGTTATATAGCATATATAAAAAACGAAAACATGCAAATCTTGTAGCATGAACTACTTTCAACACAGTATCAACTCTCCTTTATTTCAGACAATAAAAAAGACGATACTTGAGATTTTAAGATATACAAAAATGTATCATATACCTTGCCGTGTGCTTTATAGGAGCGCATTAAATCTTCTAGAGGCATCGCTGCTTCGCGAGCCAAAATAACTCTTTCATCTTCGTCCGTTTCCATGCTGGCGTCACTGTCGCTCATATTCTGAAACGTTAGAAATGAAATATTACAAATTACCATTGTTTGGATAACACGTTTTCTCTAGTAGTAACTATGTAAACATGATGTTTTTAATAGGAAAATAGTGCGGAGGTTACAGAGCATAATAATAAAGGCTATGTTCCAGAAATCTTGTTGATGGCCATATTCTAATTCCGAGTAGGTAGCTCAACAGATAGATGGTAAAAAAAAATCTGCTTCAATATCTGATGCAAAACTTTGATTCATTCCTCGAGTCTAGAGTTTGGCCACAAAAGTTTGGTCACAAAAGCAAACTGACCATTTTTGTCAAGAAAATAAAATAGAAAAAATAGCCCCAAAAAATTGTCCATAGCATCAACGAACAGGCTAATTGGTATCTGACGTACTCAATCTCATTAGACCAACCTGTGCTAGCTGTTTAAGCACTTCGACCACCTCAGGTTTTGTGAGGGTCTGATCGAACTTGACGAACGCATCGATCAGTGCTTCTTTGCAGTCTCCAGCTTGGTACGAACTTAGGCTTTTGATGAAGTTCGGCAGGTTTAGTGAGCAGTATTTAGATACCTGTGAAGCACCATTAGAAGCATATCTATTTGTGCTAAAGACCGAGCTTCAGTTTCGGAGATCTCTTTCGGCATTGTGTTACTGCACTCTGCATTTTACCTAACCCTGTTGAGAGCATGTGGGCCACTAGACCTGGCTTGTGCACTACTTTTTTTTTTCGGAAATCAAAAACACTTCGATAAAAAAAAGAAGCACATAGCTAAAATGCGTTAGTGCAACATGAATAATGCAAGTGAAGCTGCTTGCTGAAAGCTGAAGGCGTCAAAAGCCATTAAGCCGGTAAGCTGAACGTAACAATACAAAAAATAAACGTTTTTAGCTGTGAAGATAACTAGAAGTGCATAGATAATATTTACCTCGCTACCACCATGTCCATCATAGACTGCAAAAAGTGAACAATCTTTATCAAAATCCAGGATACAGTTGTGAGCGTCTTCCTGTGTCACTCTCCATCCTTGAACTGATGAGGCTCCAAATGCCATCCCATGACCTGAGCCACATACCGTATCAGGCTCAAAAATTGGCCTAGACAAATAGGCGCCCATTTTGCTAAATTCCAATTCAGACAGCCTTTATTTTAGATGAAACGATGCTAGCGTTAGCTGAAAATGCACACCATAAGAAAAAAAGCAACATGTATATTACATTATATTTGGGTCATTAGGACTACTTTGTGAAACTAGACACGCGGCTGAATTTAAAAAACACTGTGTAAGCCCCACATCCATGGGGTTAAATAAAGTTTACATTTTAATCTATAAATTGAAAGCTGCATTCGAGCTCGTGTCCGATAGAATTCTCATGTTTTTCTCAAGCCCGTAGATGATTGCAACAGAGCAATCTATTGGATGGTAAATTTACAGACTTCATTTTCAGTTTCTGAACACTCTCTACAAGATGGCCTTTTATCTTACCAATATATTTCTACAGTTCTAGTTAAGCCGATAATGGAACATTCTCATACGTAATATGCGTGTATTATAATAGAACCGTTACATCTAGAAGAGGTCGATAAACAAAGACGCTGCGGAAATGGTAAGACAATGCGACCACACTCGGACACCGTGCCATGTGAACATAGGCCGCATTGATGTTTCATCTGAATTTATGACAAAAATACCCTAAAACACTTCTCCCGAGCGTCCGTACAATTCTTAGATAACACAATGCTTAATTATAAAGAATAACAACGTAGAAATATTACCTTGCCGAAACCGCAATTTGTACACAGCGTCGTCCACGACAGATTCTAGAACTCTCCGATTTTTCGGGTGAATTGTTCCCTGTACTTGGAATAGGTACGCTAATATAAGTAAATCGATAAAAGAGAAAATGATTTTTAGATCTAGCGTGAAAAATACATTTCTACCCTGAAATTTATTTTCCACGCCATATAGGCCGGAAGAAGACATTGATCAAGCAGTACATATACAATGGATCAGCTCAAGAAGATCTCGCTGGGCAATCATTCTAACACTAGCACAAACATCCATCTTCACTACATCGAAATGTCAAAAACGGTTATGACCCTCTCGTCAGATAAAATCAATTCTGTAAACGTTTAAGTGGCAAGCATTAGTCCGTTTGTTGCTGTCGAGAACTGGTGACTGGCGAAAGCGAAGCGGCGATAAAAGTTACATACATTTCATTTCAAACGCGTTCTTAATATCGCTGACGGTTGATTAGATGGTAAACGACTCAGTTATAGAACACGTGTAAACATCGCGCACACTGTGACTTTTAGCGACGACAACGCGGAAAAGTGAGAAAAGTGCTCTGTAGGAATACTGCCAGTGACACGCAGGCTGCTTTCAAGATAACGACTCCACAGTTCTCCAGAGTAGAAACGTGTGCAGAGAGGCGAAGCCTTTCGATAAAAACAACAACAAAACAGAGCGTTCAACTAGAGGATACATGCCTTAGTGGCCAATGCGATCTCAGTTGTTGTTGCTGTTGCTGCTGTTGTTGTTGTTCAACAACAGTCATAAAAACAAATACGGGTACATCGTTAAAGTAGCCATACATAGGTATTAGGATAGGATATGTGGCGCAACACTATAATAACTGTTGGTGTCGCCAAAATGTTAAGAGGATGCTAATAAGTCAATCTTTATCGTGCTGCTTATCGATGCACGTTGCTGCTGCTGCTGCTGCTGCTGCTGCTGTTGCAGCTGTCTAGACAAACGAAATCTTTCTTCACGCCAAACTTTGCATCACGCCATATTCCACGTACCGATAACACGTACTCGTCTCGTAATCGTCAGTGACAACGAACAATTGTGAACAGAAAACGCACACTCACAACGACGATAGCCCGTTAAACTAAATTTGTAGTAATGGCGAGACAGCTGACAGGGAGTATATTAGCTAAATAACATCACTTTCATTAACTGTTCTCGTGTAGAATCACCTCAGACAACACAGCTGATGCCAAAGCTCCGAGACCGACGATGGTGGCGACGAGGATAGTTGTTATTATTACTAGTGGCCACTAGCATCGGCGAAGCACCCAATATACACAACGATTGAACACCCTATTCAATCACAACTCATTTAGTCTGCACTTAAGAACCGCACTTAGTCTGCTGCTGCAGCGGCATACTTGGAAATAATCGTGTGGTGGTCCGCTAGCAGCCGGCTGTAATGGTCCAAAACTCGGCGGTACACGCAGGGGAGGCTACCATACGAAGCGAACTGCTCACAGCGTTGCATCGGTCCTCTTGTCGAACGCCTTTTTTACCTTGCACGAATGTCTAACGATTCCGTCTGCAGCGCGAAATGAATCAGTTCCCGGCCGCCGCCGCCGCCGTCGCCGCCGCTGCCGCCGTCGCCGAATCAACCGTGTCGACCTGGCCGAATCTAGCAAAAGGGGTGCAGCGAAACGCTAGTTAATCGCGTTCTCAGAGCGTACGAACGCGGTGGCGGACCGGACCGCGACCGACACCGAGCACTCGGCCGCTGAGTGGGTGAAAGCGGCCGTTTAGATCGTTAAGTGCTTTGGAAGCAGTTCCATTAGAAGCTAGCACTTGTAAGTCTTGCAGTGTCACGGATCTACAAGGCGACGTCACCTCAGCCAACCGCAGCGAAAATTTGAGGAGATGATTTGTTGCTGTTTTTTGATGAATTGTTGATAACGGTGATTTCGCTTACTTAATTCAAGCACTGCTCTCACTAGAGGTCCTAACGTTACGTTGCTACCAGCGACAGAATAGCGTAGCCACCGTAGGTGCTAGTATAGTTGAAGTCGAGTGAAAGGAACGCTGGCGGCCAGACAAGCAGTCCGGCAGGAAAGCGTGTAGATCGACCGACCGACAGCCCGACCGACCGACCAACCGACCAACAGCCAGACAGACAGACAGACAGACAGACACACACACACACAGACGGACGGACGGACGGACGGACGGACGGATGGACGCACAGACAGAAAGAAAGAACACATACACCAGCTCACTGCTACACAGCGGTAGCGAGCAGCAGCAGCATGCGTTCGTGCGCGTTATTGTTGTTATTGTGATGGTGGTGGTGGTGGTGGTGGTGGTGAGCTGTGTTTGTCTGTCGCTGAGCTGCGAGAGTGTGGGACGGCCACTCTGTTTCCTTACGACTACTTCAGGTGCCGTGTGTTCACTGTCTCTCTTCCTCCCTCCCTCCCTCCCTCCCTAGCTCTTTCTCACTATATGCGGGTAGTGTGTGTGTGTGTGTGTGTGTGCGGATAGCAACTTACCTTTGTTGGCCGTGCAGAAATCTCGACTCGAAGAAGACGACGGCGAAAGCGATCGCAAATGAGACAGCTGTCTGTCTTTTCATTAGAGCATTACTTGCTCGGATATCTCCGATTGTTCAGGTAGCACTGGTCGCGAAATCAGAAAGGGTGGTGGTGCAAACAGGAGGGCGACGGAGATGGGGGGAGAAGGTGGAAACTTTCGCGGCTAATGCCTCGAGTGTGGGTCTCGGCCGCCAGAAGAATGCGGCTGGCGCGCCAAGGAGTATAGCGTGGATGGATGAATTGGTGCCTTGTGTCATGATCGTATATAGCAGAAACAAAATCGAATGGAGACATTGCGCGATGCGAACATCTCAATCAGCGCAGAGCTATGACTGGCACTCCTTCGGCGCTAGTGAGCCGGAAGACGAATTCGATTGTGCTGAGATTCCAAGCCATTGTTGTTCCGCCAATAAATGAATATTTTTGCGTTAGTTGCAAATATTTCGGTTCGGGGCGCGCAATAGTAATTGTTTTTTATAGTTGTTTGTATTATTATCTTACTCTTGGTACATTAAAAATCGGATATTGCTAATTAGATTATTATTCTTATTGTCATTGGAAATTCGCGTCGTGCTGGCTAACTAGGCTCACCGTTACGTTGTTGGCCTTGTAAAATCTCTAGAACTTGACTATAGTGTAACATGAGAGAGTGTTTTCGGTAGTTCGCTCTTCAGACTGGGGACGTGTCTGATCCAACGTCGAACCGTAGAAACTCTTAAAAATATAATGCGCATATAGCTGGCCTGGAATACTATAGAACTCATGTGTACTAGAGTTCAGCCTCTATAGCTTATCGCATACATATCTGTAGGTAACGCGCGCGGTCCGTGCCGGCTTAGGCTACTCGAAAATGGTTATCGCAGGTGCTATTCCTATAAAGCCATATGAAAAATGCTTCAAGGTATGCCACCCCGGGGCCGGAGAAGATCGCCTTGGCTAAATAGCTTCCAAGTAAGGCTCGCAAGTTACTAAAGGGTTGAATGGGCGGCCTGGCAGCCAGTTTGGTCCGAGTGACTTAGTCCTTTAATTTTTCCGACCTGCTGCTCTGACTGCTGCTGCTGGATGGTTCAGCTAATGTGCATACTATACGCCGCCGTCTGCACTCTTATGGCTCGACGAAAAAGGAATTATGTTAGCTTCTTGGTCAGATGCGCTAATTTGATCATCTTTGGGAATGTGCCCGATTGAGTACTTAATTAGTCATTTACTGTTTTTTGTAATTCCTCGAAGTTTTGTTGGCAAAGTTCTTCTCCAAAGCTCTTCTAGACCTGTTAACCGATCAGTGCCATAAAAAAAGACGCGGTGGTCGCTCTCGAGCGACGTATCTTAATCGAGATAGAAAAGGCGTAGTGCCCATTTTGATATCTGGAGCGCTGCCCTTGAAGTGATTTCCTCTTTTTCGGACATTAAAGACATTGCCTCACAGTTATCATAGCAGAAATCATTCAAAATAGAATCTCGTTCGTCTAGGTTGGAGACATCTTTAAGATTCAACATTAAAAGGCAATATTTCATATTGTTTTGAGGAATTGACTTTGGCTCCATTCCTCGTGGCGTAGCCTATTTGTCATTGCGTTTTGGACGTCAGTAATAAACAGCAGTGTTCTGGTTGGCTGTCTTCTTCAGCCGCATTCGACCTATATAGGGCGATGACCTATCGATTTTCTCTTGAATCAACTTTCTTCCACCCTCACTACGATGTGAACGTTCCCTAGTACCTCATAATTATGAATTATATTGCATATTTAGGCAAGAATAGTTACTCGGTCGTTTAGATTAAAGCTTGTTGGAATGAGGCACTTAAAGATAAGTTGGCGTTAGAACGCCGAAGTTACTCACGACGGCTGACAGAAATAACCACAGGCTTTTAGCGAAGTCTTCAAGTGAATCCTGACTGACTATAGAAGTACCAGTTGGATACGGCAGGTCTACTTTGCCTGATGGAACTAGCGAATGCCTAACCTCCCTCTGCTTTATAGACTCTTCTGTCACGGGAGCGATGGTATACTCTGAAGATAGAGCGCAAACACGCTCATTAAAATTTATCAAAGCTTCGCGGGCCGCTATCTGCTCAGCGCGAGTTTTATCTATAAGAGCCCGCTTACCGCGTCCCTCCGGCGCCTCCCTTTGCAAGTTACTTGCTTTGAAGAAAGCGATATCTTCTTTAGTGAAAAAAAGAAAGCAGACTTTGTATTTTGAGCTGATCGTTGTATGCATGTGAGCAAGGCAAGTTTGCTCTGGGTGTAAAGGTGAGCGGGAGCGACAACCTCCTTTAGCAGGCGATCAAAAAGGGGGACAAAAGGCGATAAGAAAGAAAAGTGAAACTCTCGCTTCCTTTAAATTTCTTTGTAAAACCTTTCGAGTGAGCTCGGAGTCTACTAGTACTCGGTGAGGACGAAAAAGGTCCGCTTGTGTCAGCTGCGTCATGCGGACTAACACCTAAAGCACATTCTTCTAGAGGCAAACAAGAACGTGCCTGAAATTTATATGTACAAGCTTAGCAAATGCTATCGGAACTCATAATCGGTCCACTAAACGTCATTGTCATCTGTAGACTAACCCTAGTGAGCTAGTGCTGCGTGTATACAGACGTTTCACATCGTCTATCGAGCTTCTGAACACTACGAGCACTCGAATAATTCGGATGCACCGGCAGCGAATTGCCTCTGCTAGCCTCACAGTGCATTGAAGACGCCATCTTTTTTACAAATGGCTATCAACAGCTGTGAAAACTACTAACGCAATGGGTAACGAGAGGCTTTTGCAGAAGCCGTTTCTCCTCGTAGCTCGTAGGGCCGCGTTCGGTGCATAGCCCGTAACGGTTCTCTGGCTGGTGGACTTTAAAAAAGCAATCATCATTTTCGAGTTCGAATCCTTGGGTTTGCCATATTGAGTGGGAGGGGTAGTTCGAATGCAAACATTTGTACTTGAAGACACTGCAACTCTATCTTTTTTATTGACTTTTGATATCAAGTGTCTGGTAGTTTCCGCAGTCGTCATGAGGTGCGTGCGTTCGAGGTAACTAACACACGTGTCCTCGTTGGCATTTGTGATAGTATTTATCCTTGCTTTATCCATCGGTCCCTTTATCTGCATAGCCATTTTTATGGATACCCAGAATAGAGTCAGCCATTTATGCCAAATTAGTTGGCTTCACCAGGACTCTATACACTACTAATAGTTTTCTGTGCGATGAGCTGATTCTTCAAAGTGGTTCTTCGTAATAACATCTAGAAAGATGTTATACGAAGTGATTACAGCCACCAAACTGCAATAGTTTGGTAGGCGCAACCCTCCACGTAGATGGAGCTTTTACAGTTCCTAGTAGTAATAAAGCTGAGAAATTAAGTATTGCGAACAAATACTGTTACAGGATTCATGAATGCAGCCAGGCATTCGTTCACTTATTAAACCTCGCGTTTTTTTTTTCCAATCAATTCTGACTTGGCATTGCTATGCAAAACGTTGGCTAATACTTCGCTCCGTGGCGGAGCAATAAGCCAGTAAATTTTTTTAGCAATTGACGTTTTCTTCAAATCGATGACGGATCCTTAACTCGATTTTAGGATTTGCAAAGGTCATAGTTCTTCATATTGCTTGTGTCACAGAAGGTAGAAACAAATAAGTGTACTCGTCTAGCTTTAAGCTTGTGTGCTTTTTCCTGTCACGCTTCTGAGCAGCCATAGTGCATCATCGGCAGAGCAAGGGCTATTTCTTTCAACGAAAAACAAATCTACTTCAGCAAGGTATTTACAAATTTTGCACGATCGGGACTAACGTTGTTACACGCGTGGTACATGGTCAAAAGTTTACAGCTGAGCCATGCTTCAGCTTGTTTGGCAATTTTCTATTCAATTTTTACTTGGTTCTACGATGTTTTTGGTAACAAGTAACGCTCAAAGACATGGAGTAATGTTGCCTTTTTCGGTGTAGTCTCCCGGAAGCTGTGTGTGTCCTGTAAGGCTACATAGGCAAGTACACCTACATGCATGTCAACATACATGAACTGTAACATCTCAACGACCATGTCTATGGAAACAACGTGCTTCTGTGTAATGCTACACACGAGCATATTGTATTCATTGGCATGCATTAGTAACAAATAGCCATACAGAAAGGCGCGCCTTATACAGAAATAGTCAGGGTTTTTGTTACGTTTGCGCGCAAGCAAACGGCTTCGTACGCGCTACACTCTCAATAGGAACCATGGGTATATAGTAAATAGAAAAATACCTTAATACTAAATGTGCCGACACTTTTTTTTGTATATCAATCTAATCAGATGATTAATATTTAGAACATTTGGTTCAGGCATGTAGGACGTAGTGCTCCATTTACCAGTCGAATATCATTTATCCACCTTAGCTGGTAATAGTCAAAAGGTTCACGTGTACATGTCAACAGCACAGTATCTTAATGTCAGAGAGACTATATAAAGCCATTTGAAACACTTGCGTTATACGTGTTGTTCCATAATATAAAACCAATTTACGAGATTTGCTAGGTATTTTCAAGGTGGTACCAGGGAAACGAGAGGCATGATATCTACCACAATTTACCCCGCACCTGGAACATTTACATGTACCATCAGGCTAATAGGGCCGGCTCGTCCTATTGCTCTTTACCCCTAGCGAAGCAAAACATTCCATATCGATCTCCGCCTCTAGTTTCTAAAGCTGGTTTTGAAGGTTTCCATTACTGGAAGCTTTAAGCAGGTACGCAAGTATTTGGACAGGAGGTACGCGAGACAATTCCGAATTGTTATGTGTAATTCCAGTGCTCTTTTAAGGAAAGAGGCCTTTGCACGATTTATTTGTTCGAGGTTTTTTATCTTACCAAATGATGCGCATCCATACTTCATGGCTGGGCTACCTTGAGTTTGAACAAGCTGAAAGTGGCTGCAAAGAGGGAACAAACTGGACGATTCCCCGTACGGAAAACACTGTTTTCCTGCTTGTTTCGATCTGTGAACCTTTTGCCATTCACGGGGAAATGTACCCCCAAGGACGGTGCGCGATTCATGTGAATCCAGAAAATTGCTGTACAAGGTAGATTAATCATTTACTTTTATTTACCCACAATTTTTACGTCCAGGAGTGGCATAAAGATAAACGCTTAAGTAACTACCCATCGTATACCTTGATTCAAGTAAATTACAAAATAAATATTTTCAGCGTTAGGAGTGAAGATGCAGTACCTTGGGTTTAATGCTAAACTACGTTGTCTTTATTTATTTACATTATGTATTCGTTTTCATACTGACTCTGTGTAAGCTGCTTTTCTAAAATCTTTTTAGCTGTCTGTGTATGCGCGTTTATATGTTTGTCTCTTCTTAGAATTTCTCGTTATAATGTGAACTCATATACAATGTTTATGCGTTTCCTCATTATATTTTCCATTTACAGGGTTTTTTCCATCAGTTTTGCATTTCCCAAATATCTATTTGTCCTTGATTCGCCTCTTCATTCGTTTTTTCTTATTGACCCATTTGTGCTCCCAACATTAAGGCGGCGCCGCTCAATTGCAACCAAATGCCAACTAGCTGGCGTATCAGTATGGCTATTTACCTTCATAGGTACCCACTTAATACACAGATTTATGTATAAATATATATTTATGTATATGCATATGTATATATATATTTGCCACTACCTGCCACGCGCACTAACTAAGCTGTGACAACCGTACTGGACAACGGTATAGTTTTGCTTTATTTTTGCGTACCTGCCAATACATTCCTCCCCTTTGTCCGCTCCTCGCAGGATATTCCCCATTTACATCCCGATTACATTTTCAGCTCACTTGAAGTTAGGTGTTTTGTTAAAAAGACTTGACAAAAACTACTACTTTTTATTTTATGTACAGACCACGTGTACACGCACAATGGCATTACGCCCCGTCACAACGAATCGTTCCCTTTGTGTTATCGGTTGAAAGCCCAGAAGGAAGGACCTCGAATTTGATTATGACTAATAGCGTCTAAAAACAATAAGGTTGCTGTTTAGGCCACTGTTGGCCTTCCTGCTGAGCTAGATCCCATTGAGTTCGTCAATTTTGAGCCTATATCTATGACTGTTTGAGTCTATGTCATAATTTTTTCGTTTCCACTATTGTTTTTCTCTTACAAGTATTATTATTATTATTGTTATTATTATTATTACTACCACTACTATTCTTTCTGGCCTTTTGATATATCCTGATTTTAAAATTGTCAACGAATTCAGCTAATACGTATTGCATATATACTACTGGCGCTATAATTGTATCACTTCGTGGTCGTCGATGAGCAGCTTGATCAGAGAACCGAAAATGCCAAGGTGTGACGAGGCTTGCCCATCGACAGTAACTTTCAACGTTTCTTAATGGATATCACTGTAGTGCAGGATACCAGTCGTGTTCACCGTCGCCTTTTGCATGTTATTTATCTTGTTGTCTATGCTTGTCCTTCCTCACTTCCAAGCTGATGTACATTTCAAGCCATTCTAATGCGTTTTAAGGCCCCTTGTCTGCTTTGCTAGCCTTATTTCTTTTTCCCTCTCCCTAGCTGTGTACTATTATTATATAATATATACAAGACGGTATTATACTCTCACTGGCAACTGGCCATGACAACACGGCTGCCGCATCACTTATTTACGATTTATAAATACAGTGTCACAAGATCCTATTTACATGTATATCTATAATAAAATTGGCTACTACAAACGCAACCACTATGGCGCACGTCATCGGTCTCTATAATCACCTAAATAATGTATCGTATGGGCTTTGATCATCGATCCTTTCACGTTGGTGATGATAACGATAACCTTCAAACTCTCATCACTTAACGCTGTCATTCTTCTCGATATTATTATTATTATTATCGCAGTTATTATAATTATGGTACCGGTTTCTTCACTTATATTTCGACCGTTTCTCTTTTAGGTCCACTAACCTATAATACATCTCTCAGCCTGTCCCGTTCTCACTTTCACACAAATGATCTTTGTTGTTGTTGTTGTTCTGTTGACGTCGTCATGTTGTTTGTCACATTGATTTTTATATACCCTATATTACATGCCAATGCTAATACGAGGGCAGGCTCCACTAGTGAGTGTCTGGCCAAGTTTAGATCGGTTTCTTAAGGTGCGTTCCGCCCAACCCTCGGTGAGACGTCGGGAGCAAGGGCGAATCAGCCCTCGCTAGAAGGACACATGTTCTCCATCTTTTTTGACTCATGTTTTTCTGTTATTGTTCTTGCGGTCGCCATGATATCTTCCTAGTGTGCTGTGGTGGCTTTAAGCGCAGAACGTGCGCTCCACCTCTTGGCTGCACGACTGACATTCGACCTTGCAGCACCAGATGAATCTGCATTTACACGTATTGTTCTGGGTTTTTCGCTCTCGGCGAATATCGAGGCCGCAGTCGTGGCAGAGCCGATTACATGATTCAGCCTCGTTCTTTGTTACGCCAACGCCGGACCGCTGGGAGCATTCCCTGCCAAGGGTACTAATCGTGCCGTTGCAGTAGTTGGTCGAATCGAAGGAATAAATCAGCGTGCCCTTTTTAAATGGAAGCCTCCGCCTTCGAATCAGACCGTCGTTCTCTGAGTCTCGCTCGTATATGCCAAGCGTTGTGCCGCCATTGTACTCCAACAGCTGCGCCCTTTCGTACGCCTTCCGTAGCCGATTTCCAACTGTGTGCATGTCGCCCAGTCGCATCCAGCACGTGCTGACCGCGCAGGAACCGGACACGCCGTGGCATTTGCACATCCTCCGCATTGTCCTCTTGACAGCCTAGAAATGTAGCGGCTAATTGATTTATACTGACAGTACAACCAACAAATGGTACACACATGTGCACATGTGGCAGTTTCTTATGATTATCATTATTTGTTTCAATCGGGAACATAGGTAATGTTTAATTCATGAATTACATAGGATAAACTCTCTATAATGTATAATGTTTAATTACAATGTGATTGCGTAATTGTTTATGCTTACCCATCGTCCCACGCGATTATTATGCAGGTTAATTGCTCCCGTATCGGTTGCCGGTTCCCGCTTGTCGAAGAACTCCTTGGCTTGCTTCTCGCCGAACTTGATATTGTCCGAACATCCACCCCAGGTCCATCGGTTATCTAATAAAAATGCTTTATATTTTATTATCCCTGATCGCCAAATCAACCTCATACTTGGGAACCATTCTACCTAGCCGGCCACGTACGCACGAATATCGGTAACTGTTTGTTGTTCATACGTATGTCTGTCTGTGTATGAACAACAAACATAATGCGAGTATACAATTTGAGCCTAGTTACTGTCCTGCAAAGTGCTTAACGTAAGCCCGGACTACACCCTAACGCTGTGTCCTATTATATATTGGATCGTGTTTTTATCGTCGAGTCCTCACGTTAATGTTCGGCCTCGCTTTCCTTTATGCCTCCGCCATTTTCACTGTCCTTCTCTTTTTGCTCTCTTGATTTCTCTTTTCAATTGAAGTCTAAACGCAGGGCCTGTCAAATAACGACGCCGCACTTCGTTGTGTAAATTTTAATAATGAAAACCCCAGCATTTTATTGTATCGCGAACGGTGTGTAAATGTGTATACGTACGTATATACAAAGTTTCACATCGCCATTTTTTAGGAGTCGTATGAGAAACCTTGTACAGATCAGTCCAACGATTCAGCCGGTTTACTTCAACAAAAGATAATTATAATAGGCGGGGAGCTGGGAGAAACATACATGTTAGCCCGTTGTTGTCGTCAGAAGTATGGTACAAATCTGCTGACGACACTTATGTAAAGAGTATTCCTTAACCATTGAAAATAACAGTTCCCGGTTCAGCGTCGACACTTAGTGCTTCAGATGGCCACTCTAATTCTGATGCCGTTTCTTCAGAAATGACGTACTCAGCGGAGTAACTTGCCACGTTGCTGCTACTCGACCGTGGGGTCAACGAGTTCGTTTGTGTATAAGAATAAAAACAGAATCGTATAGAATCAATATAACGTCGTCGCAAATAATTTACGTTATGAATCAGCTCCTTTTTCATCTGCATCTTAGGGATACGAGAGAACTGAAAGGCACACACCCTTGTCCTTAAGGAGGATACCGAGATCTGATAGCTGAAGAATCAAAACACTGCATTGTGATTTTCGGCTAGCGAAAGTGTCTATAGGACACACTGTTCTTTCACTTGGTTAGTGCGGTGTAATTTGCGCGAGCCTATTCCCAAAGTCTGCTAGTCGATTTCGGGTAATGGAGTGTTGGTTTCTTCGAATACCTGTTAACATAGATGCATACTTGACAGTTATGTACCACTCGTTAAAAATCTTCGTCAGGTTCCGGCCAGCACACGCAACTTCCTCTTAAAAGGTTCATTATTTTAGTTCTTGGATATCCGCGACGAATTTCTGCAAAGACTTCCTGCTGAAGTGATGTAGAAATTTCAACTCGATCAAGTGCTAATGTGAAGCCTTAAATCAGCAGGATTGATTCACTCCAATTGTAGAAAAACCACAGTGTTCATTCAATCAGTTTTTGTCCACCGCTTGTCGTGGTCTCCTCGGGATCTATATGTATCAAGTGGAACAAGTTGAACATCTGTACATTGTAAGTGTTACAGATTTCATATATATATATATATATATATATATATATATATAGGAGGAGGAAATCATATTAAATCATCAGTGACTGACTGCTGAAGTAAAATGTAGGAAAATGCTTGAATTCTACATAAACTTAGGAACGCACACAGCGTTTACCTATTATAAGCTCCTGCTGTTGCCGTGGTGTTCACGACAAAAGCAGTAAAGCTGATTGGTGTGTCCATTGGCATGTAGGTAGGTTAAGGAAGGCGGGGAAACGCGAAGGTTGAACTGGCCGAACAGGTGTGCCGGACATGCCTCGAGCCAGGCCCTGGCTGACTGGACTCATGTGATGCATGAAGGCGAAAGCCGACAAGCGCAATCGTGCGCCACCCAAGAAGCGTTCATCGAACGTTCCAGCGGCTGCTGCAGCATCACCACAATCATCAATGTCATCAATAGCATGTATGGACATGGGACGCAAATGGATGAGGACTTTCTCATGCGCCCAGACTTCAGCCAGTTAAGCTGAAGAGCAGAAACTCTACGCGTCAAGCGTTGATGAAGACCTTCTTTCTATTCTGTTGTTCGTTAAACGCGCGAAGCCGGGAGGGGACATCGACTACCTTAATAGAACCGAGCGTGCTGCAGGAACCGGCTGAGCGCTAACCAAAATACTTGAACTGTCTGTCTTTACTGCTGCTGCTGCTGTTGTTGTTGTCTCGGTGCTTGAGTAATCACCGCAGAGGTGTCGGCCGAAAATAGCGGCATACACGCCATCGCGACGGATCCCGTCGTCGAATAGATCTATACAACGAATGAAGACGATGAACTGTTCGGCGCTCGCCTCGAATATAAAGGGACCACCGTTGTAGCTGCTGCTCTTGCATTGTTGCCACTGACGAACACAAAATGGTTTTCGACTACACGCCATGCGTATCTGCTTCAAGCCGCGCAGGCAGATATCTCGGGAACCAATTATGGAATGGCTGACTTTTCAAGTCCACTCCTCTCGTTCTCCCATAACTTAGCATACTCCGTCTTCTTCTCCATTTTCCGCAAATATACGCTCCAATGGGCTATTGCCTAGCTTACGCGTGAATGAACTAAATTGACTACTCGTTACGTTCATCCCTAAATATTTCTCGGATGTTCAGGCCCCCGAGTCTCAACATTGATGGACACCGACGGATCTATAACAGTTTGTGCTATGACAAATAAGTTAACAATACCTTTCCATATATTATATACAAGTTGCGAAGTTCCGTATTCATATCGTACATGCTTCGGCTACTAACTTACTCCAGTAAACCTATAAGTTCCTCCCTATGATGATCTGCTAATCTTAGTCTTTGTAACAATGTTTGATAAACATGCACGACCTGATGCGCTGCGTTGTACTACTTCTTTGAATCACTACTCAATGACGACGTAAATGAAGTGCCTCTACTACATGAATTGTGCTCGATAATGAAATTAAATAGACTTTTTCGACGCGCGAGAGCTGCTGCTGCCGGACGAAGAAGGGGCAACTGCGGTGGCCAACCACGCTGGCGCCTCCTCCGCTGTGAGTTGTCATACAGAAGCGCTGCCAGCGGCGCAACGCGCTGCCGTCTTCTCGAGACGTTCTGCTTTTGCGACGTGTCCTTCGGTTCCATTCGAAGCAAAAACTTTTCACTCGAACTTTTCGTTTCGGGACCGCGGCACCGAATACGGAGAGGGGGAGCTTGTCGCGATTATGCGGAGAGATAGCGGGACCATTGAACAGTGACTGGACGAACCGAGATGGAACAACGGAGTGACGCTGCTGCTGCTGCTGCTGCTGCTGCTGCTGCTCAAGAGGAGAATCAGCAAAACCGGCAAATCTCTTTTGCGGCCGAACGTGTGCAAACGCAGCAGCGGCAATAGTAACTGCTCGAGCAGTCGTCATATGTATGGGATCTAGCAACGGCTCATATCTGTCCAGGTGTCTTCTCTGCCTAAGTCCTATTTCAAGCTTCGCAGTAGTTCTGTCCAAAGTTGAGTAGCTGATGTCCGGTCTGCCTGTCTAGCAATTTTCTCACTTCGATGGCTGTTGCCTCAGATAATGCTATACTCCTAGCTGCAGCTACTGCCGCTGCCGCCGTCAGCTCGCAGTGGTGCAGCTACCTAGCAGTATGCCTCTTCTAGCAGGAGCGGACGAGAAACGAATGACGAATACGAATATGCACACAATACAATTTGGCGTTTACAGGCATGCGAGCATGTATACATATACACACACACATACATAAAGTCCAAGGATGGAACGTGCGCCGACCGATCCGAAGTCGGACCGCCAGACAGAAGGAGGTTGAACACTTCTGTCTTCAACTGCCGATGATACAATCTCTGGGCGCTCTCTCGCTCGAGCGAAAAGAGAGGGAACCGATTGTCAGACGGACTCTTCGATACAGGAATTTGATGACGCTAAACATTCGCGCTGCCGTGTTCCGGTTTCATGTTTTCGTTATTCGTTCGTTCGATGTATCTCGCTGTTTTCGAGACGGCCATGTTGTTGTCCGTTTCGAGTCCTATGTTGTCCCGCAGGTCACCGTTTCCCGAGCAGCAATTCATCGTAAGCGCATCATCATCACAGTCCAACGATACAGATATACGCGTTGTCTTTACTAATCATTTGTCCAAACCGATAGCTAGCTTGGCTGACAGAACTCGGTGTCATCTATGCATATGTCCCAATGGCCGACGTTCCAAGGGATCCAGTCTAGCTGGACGCCATCGCTGGCACAGATATTTCTGCCGATTTCTCTTTTGCCGCTCGTTCTGTCGAACGCCGCAGAACACCGTAACTGTGTAAGAATAAGCGCAACCTTTAGTCGTCTTGCCAGCACAAACGAGCGGGAACGACAGTGGCAGCGATATTTTTTCGCGTAGATCGTGCTGGCGTCCTCTACCGATGATGTCGCCACCACCCCTTACGTACACAGTGATCCGTTCCGACTGTAATGCCTATAAAACACTACGAAATCACACGGCAAACCACAACTAGGGGAGAATAGAAAGGATCGTTGCCGTCATAAATACTCGACCGTCATGGAGCCAACAACTGCGATCAGCGCTAACGCCACTCAGGCACAAACTTAGACCAACCAAAGCGGATAGCTTGAGTTAGTTGTCATGATGATTCAATAGGTCGCCGAACAGCCAACTAACTAATAGCGTAGGTACACAGATGTCTCCTTCGAATCCTGGGAACTGTCAGCCGGGCAGTATGGGAGTGGCCGAGATTCCTCCAGGCTTTAAATGGTTACTACATCTTCTCGTCCGTACTTAGTTACTGCTTCGTGTCGTGTTTAGCCCTATCCTCTCCCAGAGCCTTAAATGTGTTGTTGAGTCTTAAACATTGTTCCGATAATGGCTTTCTCTGGGTGGATGCAATTCGCGCAGCGTAGAAGTAGCCCCAATAACAAACACTTAGTAAGGTCATCCGGCATGCGAAAAGAAGTTATATATACTACATATATAAGGCCCGCGTTGTGGAAACTATCACGAACAATTAGGGTAATACAATGAATGATAGAAAAAAGGCAACGAAAGCCTCAACTCGATCACTACAAAACTGTACAGCACTTGCTTAAGTTAGCCAAAACAAAACAAAGAGAAGGTAATCAGGTAGAAACAAAGAGATATAAGTCAAATCCAACAAATGCGATGAGAGTCTTTGACAGTTGAATGCCTCGCAGTTGGCCATTGTACAGCTTTTATGTGATCGTTTGCGTTTGATACCGAGGAAGCATTTCGTGTTGCGCGGACTCGCGGCTCGCGGCGGGACAGCCCGACGACTTCAGCGGCAAAGCACTTTAGAATGTACGAGACATCATTTCAGCTCGTCGGAGGCGGGTGAATGAGTGAGCACCTTCCTTCAGTGACTCAGAAAAAAGGACCTGGCTTTAGGTGTGAAAGGAACATGCCGTTTAAGTAGTCCGCTCGATCGTTATCTAATCTCGACGTACTTGTGGTCTGGCTATTACACTAAAGACATTAGTGATTAATATTATAGGCTTAATTGCGTTAGCTTTGGCCACGCGGACAACTTAGCTGCCTCCCTTCCCTTCGGCCTGAAAAAACACCAAACGCCAGTGAAGGCAGCGGCAGTCACATTTCAGCTCGACCACACACATATCACGACGACTGGACGCGCCAGAAAGCGTCGTGCGGATGCCCCTCTACGCGCCCATCAATAATTAAGCTATCTGACGACGTTGGGTTTTTCCCTATGTAAAATAAGCTGTAATTGTGTAGTAAAATTCTCCGTTTGAACTACAGTTTAGCGTCAAGATGAGCTTGAGTGCTTGCTTAAAGACATTCGGATGACGACATGTATGTTGCATCTTTTCATTTGATTCCATTTTACCGTTAGAGTGACGAGTCCTGCTTAAATGCATTTGCAAGGGTTGATGTGATCTGAACACCCGAGTCCCTGGGCTGAATCAGCCAGTAATCATTTAAATGTGGACATTACTATTACCTTCTAGAGGACGATTTAGGAACATCCTAAAAACACACCATTTGTCGAGCTAGCAAAGGACACGGAAGCTTCAAACTCGGACGATTTTCTAGTTTTTTAACCGCAACCTCTCCCGGTTCCGTTCGGAGACATTTGTAGCCCAAAAGTGAAGTGAATGCCAACTGCTGCTCGTCAATCATCTGATGATGTAAGCCATGCGATCAAATAAATAGATTGCCTATCATTTTGGCGTAATATCAGCTGTTTTCGTTTGGCTACTCATTATGTTATAAAGGCAAACCTACCGTTGGTTGCTTTGCGGGTCTGGTCACACATACAATTGTCAAAATGGCCTAAAGAACAATTCCGCGTTAGCGTATACGTAATACCAGCGCTGATAATGGCGTGCACAAAAGCCTTTTCTCGAGTTGCTGCAAGAAGAAGCCAGATGTTTTTGATTAGTAGTAATTAGAACAAATTACTATCTCTGTTAGGTTAGTTAAGCGGAACGTCTAGCCCAGGCTTGAGCGCACGTCACGAGAAAAAAAAGATATCGGAAACAGAGCTTTGTTTTTGGTGAATCTATCCTCCCAAAACACTTTCCAGAACCAGCTATTGACTAATAAGTCAGTGTAATAGGGCCTAATAGCATATAGACATTGTACAGAAAGTAGACAAATAATACATATAGTAGTGAATTATAATAAACAACTGCAGCCGGACGTCAGTTAATCTGTTGGGATAGAGACTATCGCAAATATTTATATCTACTTTTACCGCCCGTACAGCCTCTGCCATCGCAGGACAAAAAGAATGTTTTTTTTATAGGGCCAGAATTAAGACGCGATAGAACAAATTCATTTTCCAATGAACTAGCAGAAATGTAATCTATTACATAGAGCAACAACAAGGATCTATCAAGTTATCTTTACCACGAATGACAACAATATAGCAGGATACATTATACACTAAAAGAGAATCTCATTATACGCCGTTCACTGCCAATAAACATTACTAACCGAATGACGATTATTGCTCGTCGAACTGAAACACCTCAGTTTCTGTTCTGTTTTTTGCTCGTGTCTTCAAGCTATTATATATCACCGGCTTTAATACTCTATCGAGCTAATGGAACCGGCCGATTGCTCGTTCGCTCACTGGCTTCGTTGTGTCGCGGTCCGAACGACGATCCGAAAACGCATCACGGCGTCGCCTGCCGTTATCGTTTGAGCGTATCACATGTCGCGTACCGCACACCGAAGCATACGTTCCCGTTTCGACTGTTTCAGTGCCACGCAGTCCTTGCTGACTACCGTCTGTGTACTATCTAAACACATGCACACATACGCACACGCTAATGCACACTTAGAGACACTAAAGTACACTCATACACATGCAGAAGAACAAGTATGCATAGCGGGGCAGTCGCTTCTGTGAGTTATCAATTGTTGTTTCTGTTATCTAGATATCTCTCTAATAGACGGTAATAGTTTAGTGAGGTGGCTGAAGCAGTCGATGATTCGCAAAGAGCCGTGTAAGCGTATTCTCCGTTGCTGTGACAGCAAGCGGTAGCCGCCGCAGTAACCGCAACAGTAAAAAGGCTGATGTGGGCTTGACACATGTCTGAGACAGGTATCGTGGGTCGGTATACCTAACGAGCATTGTTTGGAGTTACATCTAGGCAGCGCGGCAAACTTGCTAAAGAAAATGCTCCTCCAAGTATGGGTACCGGTAATGACCGCTAGGATGGTAGAAACAGCACCCAAAAGCCTTTAACCTCTTGTCTCCTCATTTACGTCCCTCCCTGATTCACCCCCACTTAGACAGAAGTCAGGTCAGAGAAAAACCTGCATCGGAACCGAAACGACAGCCAGTTCGCTCACTTAATATCATATATGTATTCAATGCGTATTTGTGCTTTGGCCTTCGTGGCTTTCACTACTTCGACCCAGATAACCTTATTAGTTGGTGCCGTTCTACCACTGGACTGCTATACAGCGGCAGCGTGGGGGTTATCCATGTAGCGTTTCGTGTTCAACTATCCGTTGTTGTTATCGCTGTTATTGTCGTCATCGTCTCCGTCGTTGAAGTTACAGTTGTTTGTTGTTGCTCTTGTTATTATTGTTCTTCGATGGAAGATGCTAATCAATTAAAGTGACGTTATCGGCAAATATTAGAGCACCTCAACGAACAGACAGCAGCGAACGGACCACAATCCTCGTAAGAGAAGAGGCCTCTTCGGCGGCGGGGTCCGCTCGCACTCTAGCGTAACGCGTAGCTCATCAGAGCCTATAGATCTATGCAATAGCTCGGCAAACGGCATTAGAACCGCAGTAGCAGCGACGGCAATAGCAGCAACAACAACAAAAACTATAGTAGCAGTAGCAGCAACAACGACAACAACAACAACAACAACCTACTACAGCGTCGGCAGAAAGCAGTACCTTTTCTTGCCTTCTTAATTTTTTGTTTTAGGTAGTCGTAGCCGTATGAGTAGTCTCAGCTGATATTAGAAATTGGTGCGTTCATGAGCGGCAGCTGGCGTATATACATACGAAGCCACGTCAATACGTCAACAGACAGATCGGCGAATGGAACTTTCCTGTTGGCGTAGGTGAGACCGTGGCGGAATCGTCGGTAACAGGCGGTGTCGCAGCCACTTCTGTCATATGGTCTATAGAAATTCATACGTGTATTTATTAGACATGCACAGAGATCTCTGTTAACTGTAGTGCTCTTGAAGTGAAAGGCGCGAAAATTAGGTAGACTATAATGTATACAACAGAGCGGTGGCGGTAGGAACAACATCAGCAAAAACAAACAAACGCAATAACAGGAAAAAACACGCTTACTCTATACTAACATTCGCTGTTTGTTGTTCAGCCTTACGGCGGCAGTTTTTTGTACCAGCTAGCTTCGCGCTAAAACAGTCTGCCATGCGTCATCATGCGCTCACCTCGTCAGCGTACGAGAGAACGCTGCGTGTTCAGTTGAGCAAAGCAACGATATCAGAATGGTCTTCATACGCGTACGCGTCATATCAAACGGAAAGAATTGCCTCGTTTGCAATATAAGTTTTGAACATATTTGCCCACACAAATATTGAGTTAAAGGCACCATGCGTAGACACACGCCCTTATAAAACTTCTTACATTAGCTGTTAGCACACATACATTTGTACTGAGAAGCGTAACTTCGAATGGGACCTCGTGCCTAAATAGATAGGGGCATTGCTCACTGGTGCGCAGCGCAAATAGAATCGAACTAGCATATCGGCAGAATTCAAATAGTTATTATTAAATAATAGTTGGAAAACAAAGTAAGGGAGTAGCTTAGCGTAAAAGCACATCGTGAAGTTATGTCCTGCTTGAATGAAGCAAGTTGTGGTATAGTTGATCCTCTGGCCATTATACGGGACACGGTACAGCGCGCTTTCTAGGGGGAGCATGTTTTGAAATGACGAGTTCTTCGGCCACTGCAACAGCTGCGACATCATCATCATGGTGGCCAATAGACGTCAGAAGGGTGATTTCAAGGAAATTTTATCACCTTTTAATTACAGAGCACATGTTATAACGTTCACATAACACTATAGCTCTGTAATAGAATATGAGGCTCCTAAGGCAACCACAGATCTGTATTATCTAAACGGTCATCATGTACAGGGTCAGATTCCATCTGTTCATCAAGTAGGCGGTCGTGCGAAGATCTGGCCTGTCGGTCAATATCACCCGACCGATTTCGCACCTTGATTCTCCGCCTTCCTCGCTGCCTAACCGATGTAACGACACTTAATGGAGTAAGATCAAAAATGACAAGTGTAGAGTAGGTGCCGCATAAACACTCCATTTGATTATTGGCTGCTTGTCGTAATTCCGCCCCATCTCAGCCCAGCCGCTGCAAAATGACTGTTATGTCATCGTAACGATCTTTTTTTGTGTTTCTAATACGTATAGGTTTGTTTCTTTCAGCGACGAGGATGTTCGGCAACGAATATCATTGGTAATGGTTCTTCGCCTCTGAATGCGTGCTGTTCTAATTAAGAACAAGAGAGCACATACGTACGCATCAAGATAGAAAGAAAGGTGAATAAGCACAAGCGAGAAACAAAACGTCTATTTAAAAATACGATACCAAAATGACTGTCTATCGCTTGCTATTTCTCGGTGTGTGATTTCAATTTCTGAGGCGCTCGCCCACCCCTGAACTATAACATCAGACAGTCAATTCTGAACGTTAGCGTCTATGTATGTACCTTTGTATTTAGGTACCGGTGCGTACATCATGAGCAGACAAAGGTAATCTCTATAATTTGCTGCTGTTTGACTCTCGTTCACAGTCTCTCGCCCGTAGGGTCTCATTGCTTCCGCGCAATTCAATGTACGCACATACACATACATACAAATAAATGCTGTTGACCGCTTGTGCATACGCTGGGTCCCGTGCTCTCGCTGTGAGTACTAGAGTGTCTAATGCATTTTCTGTGACCGGTTGGTTTATATCGCGTTACCTTTCTTGATTTTTTTTTTCTTCCTGAGTAGATTGAATATCTTTTCCCTGTCGTCGAAGTACGTCTCGACGCACACCCGCCAGCGTTGCCTCACTGTGGCGGCCGCTTGTATTAGCCCCCAGTTAGATGAGCTCCTGAAGAGTTCAGTTAAACAATTTACGCAGCTCACACAAACCGCAACGACACAAACGCCGAGTTACGTTATACGCTAGCGCTGTCTATATACGCTGGATGTATATAGCTATCATAGTAATAGTACACATGCTTGCCTTTCAAGGACCGGGGGGAGAATAGAAGCAAGCAATCGATGCCCCGTTGTCGCTGCTGCTGCAACTTTACTAATTGAACGGTGAGCTCCTCTCGCCGATGAAGATGAAGACATCGAATAAGTTCACTACCAACATCACCACGGTTAATGCTGGGCCCCACGCATCCTTAGCTATTCGGGAAACAGCGGTGGGCGAACCGCCAATGTGCGCTGTTGCCGCCTCAGAAAGTCTTGAACCGCAGCCGTCAAAGCTTGCGTTCAACTAATATCATTACGAAATGGAATGAAGTGACTGAAGTAAGCATACCGCCAAGAAGGCACGAAGCACAACAGCCAGGCAGGCAAACAGGTAGGTTTGAAAACGGGTAGGCAGTTACTGACCAGCTAGGCGGGCGAGTGGCCGCTTCTCTGTGACTGAATGCACGCTGGTAAGAGGTAAACTGGGGGAGTGAGGTGAAGTCGCTGCCGACGCAGCAGCCGCCAGGTATTTTGCTGAGGTGATCTATTGATACCCGGGTGGGCCAGGGTCGTCACGGACCCACTCAGTAGAAACAACGAAGACGACCTACTATTGGAGAAAGAGAAGCGTAGGGACCACCGCAACGCGAGTAGACCTCCTATACAATAAAAGTACATAGATTAAGCATACTCATATGCTATTGCATCCCAGTGGGTTTCAGCGCTGAGTGAACAAGAGAGAGAAAACGGCGACTGCAGCGAGAGATCCATCCGTTCAACGAAGAAACAATGCGACGGATGTTTTCTATTATCGCTCACCTCTAGCTTCGTTCACTACCACACTGCACGTAGATGACACGAAAAAGACAATTATACCGTCCATCTCAATACAATCCCCTCCATTTGGATTAAATACTTGTAACATTTGCCCAATAGGACATTACTTGCCGTTAAGCGTTGACGACACACGTGGTGAGAACGATTGAATTTACCCCATTTTTTGCCGCGGTTGCTACTGTTGTTTTTGCCATTACTCCTGCTTCTGCTGTGGGCATAAGCGAAAAACACCATTGGAGGAAATCTCCCTCCCGCTTTAAGGAACACGTGTCCTAAGTATCAATGCAGCAGCAGCCGCAGTAGCACAAGGATGCAGCGAAACAGGGTAAGTGGACATCGTAGCACTTACTTAAAGAGGCAAAAAGGAAGTATCAAAAAGCGAATGGTAAACTGCTTCGGCGGCCTTATGCGGCACACACGTCCGTTAGAACAGTCGTCTAATAAAGACCTGAGGCAAGAACGATATACGCTTGCGCGCATCGATTGCTTTATCTGTTTTAGCGTGATTGTTATTTGTGCTTTCAGAACGGCCCTCGTGCTAGCTGACTTAGCTGTGCCTTCCTAGGTGAGGTGTCTGGTCAGCGCCAGCATAAGGCTCACCGGAGATACTTGGCAATTTTCAAAGTAAGAATCTCGCTGCTGCTACCACCGCCGCCTCCGCCGCTGCTGCTAACATATCATTCGGTGGTTATCTGATTTGGTGGGGGCTTAGCTCGGCGACTGCTGCTGCAGCTCTAGCCGTTCCGATGTCTTTCTGCCGTCTGTGATCCCCGTGATCATCGCGTATGGTATTTGGGTGAGTCTTGAGCTTCTAGGGCTGAGCCCCGCTTCGGCAGCAGCAACGGCAAGCCGTATCGAGATGGGGCTATAAAAGGCAACAAAACGACGCACATCAAAATGTTGTCCTTTGCGGTTCAACAAAAATATCCCTTGTCTGTGTCATGTGTCGTGTGTTCTTCACGAAGTACACCAGATGAAGTGCACAAACAACGACAGACGTGGGTGAGGTAGTTATGGTCCTTAAAATGTCTGTGTGTTACGTCATCAGATACTGTTATTGAAACAATCTATTGCGAATCTATTTTGTATCACAATCAGCAATTTGGATGAGTCTTGCATTATGCAAGTCTATTATCTTTTGAATCCGTAGGAAAAAACATTTAGACGGGGTCAGGGGTTACAGGGTTATCCGAGAGACTGCTGTCATATCAAAAGTCAATCCGTATGATATGCGCCGACTTTAAATCATTTTTTCGTTAACAATAAGGTTAACCGGATGCCGCAAATATCGAACTTTAGGACGAGTAGGCGATGATCCCACAGAGGCGTTGGGTCGTCTGCTCCTCCAGCTTCTTCATTTTAGCGGTGATAGCGGCACTTTCTATTGGGGGTAGCTGATTCGATTTTATTGAGGTCGGCCATTTAAGATGAGGGAGATCAAGACGCCTGATCAGTGTCCGATTAGGTAATTGGCTTCGCGTGCCGACGAGTGGCTAACCTTTGAGTAAATAGTGAGCCCACGATCATGGACGAGCAGGTATGTAGATGACCGAAGAACATAGATCTGCTCTATTCAATCGCTGCTTGCGTATCATTTAGGGACTTGAGAACGGTCGCTGTGTAGTTTGGGATTTTTTTTCTCTGAATTATTCAGCAGTTAATCGATGTTAAGTTTTAATTGTAGAGTTATATTCGGATGCGGATAAACGTGTTTATTTCTACCTATATATTCCTCGTTAACGATAGTCACTTACCAGCGCGGCTGCCAGGACGATCGAAGACGTCAAAAGCTTCCTTTGGACAATTCCACAAGTCCCATTTGAACTGCGACTGGCATTCTTCATAGCCTATTTCTACACCCGCCTGTACTGAATTTATTAGCGCCAAGTTACCCTGAAATAGAATCGAGATACATGGATGAATGAATGAATTGTACATTTGACCATTTGCATGGCATAACTAATGTCACGAAGTTTAACTAACGCGAGAAAAATAGTAACTTTTTGGGCCCTGAGAAATTACCTGTATTGCAGTAGCTTTAGAGAAGTAAGAAGGTGGAAAGATAAAAGGTTGGTGGGTAATGATAACGGATTATCAACATTTTGGCTAAAATATCTGATAAACGTTAGAAATGAAGAATTAAACTGATAGTATTTTCAATAGGTCCGTTCAAACAAGTGGAAAATGGTACCAAAAAAGTACGATGCACTGAGGTACGCTGTCTGAATGGATTACATATAAGGGCAGATCTCTTATCTGAACTTGCGCGTAAACATATACGAATCCAATTACCAGTTGTTTGAAAACAATAATAGGAAAATTATAGCACAATACAATAATAGGTAGCCTTATTGTCCGAGGGCGATAGAAAGCCCAGAAACGTTTTGTGGGCGAGCTCTTTTGAGCGATGCCGGGCGACGTCCTGCTCGACTGCACAGGAATGTGTCTCTAGGCAGCATACATACGGTAAACACACACACACACACACGCACACACAAACACATACGCACGCAGACACATGTATGCATCTAGACCGATCTAGACAGCTGCACCCCCTCTTTGAATCAGCAACCAACCTAGCTAGCTAGATAGATAGCTGGCGTGGCCACAGTTCTTCAGCATCTTAACGCTGAAGCAGAAAAAAACTCTGATCCACTGCGACCGACTCGCTCTCAGCTGGAACAAGTAGCCGTAGCGACCGGACCTAACTTGGAGTATCATTTACCTCGAGATGATTACGAGATTAATTCGCCTGATTAGACAGCTAAGCGATCCGGCTGTGGCTGACTCTGCAAGAAGGACTGCAAGGATCCATCTACCTATGCAACGACTAATAGGACCAAATCTTAACAATGCTAGGTAACTGCCCTTTCAAATAAAGACCCTAACACTTTCAATGAATGTTGGTAGGAGTGCACTGTCAATCGTATAGATTTTTCAAGACGAAAGGACATGTATTTAGCATTTTCGGGGCAATAAGGCCAATTGTGCTGCAGTGGTCATCCAGTGAAGGCTTTTCTATTATCCATCGCCTTTGGGCCGGTATAGTCAACGCGCAACCGGCCTGTCTCTCTGTCGTATTTCGTGTTATGTGCGTCTAGCACTTCTTCATTGCCGGCACAAAACAGACTGGTATCTACATATATCTAGTCTGCGCGAGCATTGTTCTCATGGTTCTCGTCGAAATTGCCGTAGAAATCGCCGTTTTCGATAATTCCCTCTGCCAACCCCTTCTCAACCCCTGAACAAACCGCAAGCTGAATGTCGATGACGTGCCACTGTTCATTGGCTGTTCTGATTTAATCAAGTGGAACGATGGTCGCCTAATCGAACGCTATCGACTCTTCCACAGGATAAAGATGCAGTGGCTCGGAGCAGACACGAAGAGGTGGAAGAAATAGAGATAGGGGTGAATGAGGGAGGGAGGGCGAGTGAGAGAAAGACCAAGACACGACGCCGCCATCGGTCTTCGGAGAGACGCGCACAGTGACGCGACGTACGCGCACAGAGGCATAACGAGAGCAAAACGATATATACATATACATACACATAGCTACATAAATTAAATAGCCCAGTTCAACACCTCTTTAGCGCAATGCCTGTTTTGTCCACGGGGTCAGTACCACATAGCCGAATAAATGCAACGTTGGCGACGTCCAGTATTAGCAACTTTGCATAGGGTTGTTCTCGCCTTTTGCAGTACGCGCTGTGCCTTATATCTTCTCAACGACAGGGCGAGCTTAATAGAAAGAAGCGGGTGGCGATGAGAAAGAATAGGCAAATAAAGGATGAAGACCGCAGTTATAGCTGCCAACCAATGCTATCCGCGGCTAGCGATCGAAGCGAGAGAAGAAGGGAAAAAGGTGAACGGAATGGCAATATGGGAAGAAAAACCGGCAGCCGGAACACTTTTGCATGCGGCGATAACTTAACGTCGATATGATCTCCTTAGCAACTCTGTTGCTTACATACACCAATGCGACTGGTGGGATCCCATCCGCTCGTTTGCTACTCTCCTTGTCTTTCGTCTTTTCTTTATTTTATATTTTGCCGTCCTGTTCGTTGACATTCTGCTGCGCAGTCAGACGAAGATCTCCCGAAAATCCACACTATACCCCTCCATTTGAGCGCCGTGCTTCCCTATCGTACGGGCAAAGTAGCCGATAGTTGTAGCAGCTACTGCCGATCATGCTAGCAAACAAGCCGAAGAAATAACTTGAGTAAATGCGTCGACACTGGTACAGGTTCCCATACGAATATCTTGACAGGCGGCGGAAAGTTTCAAATTGACTCGGCCTCTATCGCGGCATTTATATATATATATATATATATATATATATATATGCATCTATAAAATTCAAAAATATGCCACTACTGCTATCAACATCATCGACAACACCCCCTTCCCCCATAGGCACCTAAAATTGCCGCCTTTTGCTGCCGTGATAGACCCATTTCGTTACGGCTATTGCTGGTATGACACGGTGCGATAGTTTCTCTGGACATAAATGAGCACGGCGAACCCGACATGGATGCCACGGTTGCCTGAGGTCCTGGCACAAACGAAAGCAAGAAAAGTCTACCGCAATGAACCTGCACATAATGAGCAGCAGAAAAGAACTACCGAACATCCGCTTCACATCTCATTTCTTTTTAGCAAACGTTAATGACCTGTAAAGGACTTCTCTTAGGCTCCATTCGACCTGTGTATTTATGAATAGAAATATCAAATAATCCTTTCTGCCTCACCTTCCGCAAACGCCCGCTAAGAGATGAGGGACATCATTGACTCAGACAACAAGTAACGCGATAAATTGTATTTTTTCAGTACCACACCAGCTGACCAATGTCATCGGCACGTTATTAGCAGCTACGTCCTCGAAGCATCCTCGATCGCATACCTGCTTGTATGCCTGTTGATAGCGGCTGCCTGCCTGCCTGCTTGTTTGTGTCATTTCTGTTGTCGATTTGTGACTACTCCTGTTATTTGTAATGCTAGCGTAATCGCGCGTAGCTCAGATCCGCTGCCCTGAGACAGGGGACAAAGAGATCATGGGAGCGATTGCTTATCGTTCGTTGATGTCCTTCCTATGGCGCCGACGACGGCTGCTGCTGCGCCGGTTTTCGCTGCTGCTACTTGGCCCTTTGCTTCAGTTGAGTTACACACAGCGTGATGTATCGTCGGCAAAAGCGAGACGCCATCCGATCTGTCGTTAGCGCCGACGCTGGCGCGACGCAGGGTAGAGATAGTGGGGGGACAGAGAGAGTATTTTTCGTAGCAGAACATCTTGTACGGTGTTCGATAACCTTTATAGTAACGCTCGTGCTATGTTCAACGTATGTCCGTGTACTGGATAAGTTCTCTCAAAAAGACTCCCCGCTTTCAGCCGTCCAATGTTCATTGCTCGTTAGCGCTAATCGTCTGTAGCCATCAACGATTGCAGACCGCCATTTAATGTCGTGGCAGACTCCACTACTGCGAAGGCTCACGTGAAACCCATACACACATACCATGTGATCAAGCATGACGGCGCATGGTGGCAACAGTGTAACCATCACAATGGTAGCAGTAAGCCTAAAACCAATGGAAACATATCGGTACGTATAGGGTATTGTAGACGAATCGAGGATTGGGTCAAACTGAAAACACTGATTTCGCAACTGACCGAAGAATGCTAGCCGATAATAAGGCTGTAAGCAAGTAAAAGGAGGGGGAGGACCAGGGGAAATACGCGATTTAAAACATTTATTCAACTCCCCCACTAGCTAATAGTGCTATACTGATTGGAATGCCATAAGCAAGCTGGGCAATCACGTGAGCTTTGCGTTACAATCTCCGGCTGGCCACTCACTTGTTTGGCTTATGGTAGACATCTCGGCTAGGTTGATGGAATTTTGCTTGTTTGCTGCCCCTTTGATGCCTTCAGGGAAATTGCACTTGAGCCAACCTCATCACTAGCCCGCAATCTCCTCCGCTATATTTTTGTGACCCAAACTTCACGATGTTCGTCCGGCTTTGTGTGACTTTGTGCCGCGTCGGCTAGCATTGAAACGTCGCCTGATCCGCTGCTAGTTCTACCCTCAACCGCGCTCACCTTCTCGTTTGCATCTGTACATCATCTCTCATTGAGTCCAGTCGGGTCAGGCCAAGAGCCATCGTCCCAGAACAAACGTCGAGCGGAGATCGACAAGGCGACACGAGGGGAACGAAGTTTCCCAAGTTTATGATGGAGATGGGCACGCCACATCTTGCCTGCAGAGCTCGCTTCCGACGCATGCCCGAATCGCGGGTTCTACTCGTATGAGTTCCTCTGGTGGTGATGTGGTGTATGCTCTCAGAGCTGTAGGCCTCAGACTCCAGGTCCATTGAGCCTGTGCCGATCTGAACACCAGACAGTCACCACCCCCGACACACATATCCACGCACACATCGGTTGCGGTACCTCTCGAAGTCGAGCTTCGTAGCTGAGTACCAATAAAGATGTTGATTACTGATTGCTTTATTACTTCAAAATATTCAAACAACAAATATTCACTCCTCAAGTCGCTCAATAGAAAAGCCGGTTAGCCAGTTCTTTTATCGCTATCAGAGAAAAGAGGAGCGAAGTGACGCTGATGCTGTTGCTAGGAGAGTCGGCTGACCGTAACGTTTTAATCGCTAGAGAATCAGAGTTTAGTTGGATGACCTATCGATGCATGCACATAGGTAAACGTAGGCTGACATCTATATTGCTAGACATGCTTATGAATTACAGCGGCGACGGCGACGGCGGCGGCGGCGGTGGCGGCGGCGGCAGCGGCAAAACAAAACATCTACTTCATTAATATACGCATGGTGACGTTTTCTGGTAACAGTGGTACGGACTTCGGTCGGTCGACGCAATTGACGCCTG